ATTCTGGTAAAAAACGGGTTAATCCCAGGTCGCCTCACATTAGGACTTAATCAAATCAACCCCTGAACAGGACATGCAGAACAAGCTTTAACCTCGAGAGGTCATCAGTAATCAAATGTTTCCAAACAAAAACAATGTGTGCAGAGTTTTGTCTTATTAACTTAAAACTGTTGTTTGTTACAACTTGGGCAAGAGGAACAACATACATACATATAATTATTATAATTGTGGGAGAGAATCTAGTCCATGTAACATAATTTTATTAGGAATTCACAAGTTTTCTAAATGGAAATGTACCTCTGTTGCATTAAACACGTGACTAGTAAGAGTGTATCTCCATTTGTCACCTTAAAATGAACCATCCAAAGCACATCCATCCTCTTTTTAACATTTTTAACAGATCCCAAGGTTAAGCACCAGCTCATTTTTTTTGCATTCGGCACGTTGAAAAACTCTTAAAGCGACAGCGCTGCCTTCCAAAGGGTCGGTACAACACTTTTTTCCCCTCTTCACAGTTTAGTGTTTTTAATCATTGAAATAATTGAAATATGAATTAACACAACACATAGATTTAAAGCACATTATTTTAAATGGACACAATATATTAAATCAACAACAGAATATGAAATAACATGTTTAAGTGTGCTATATATATATATATATATATATATAAATCAAGCTATATATTTCAAGGATAATGTATTTGTTTATTAAACAAAATGTGCACTGATTGAACTCCACACATCCTTGAAAACTGATAAACCTTCAGCCAATATGGAGTTCTGACTGGTTGAAGCATAAAATTAGACGGTTTGTTTTAATGGCCTTAAAACGGATGCGTAAGGGGCCAACCATCAACACAGAGCCTTGCGTTGCCACTGAACTTTGCATTTGCCAAATATCTCGTCTTAAAGGATGCCAAGCTCACCATCTGTTGGCTGCGCTTGGCAAATGTCTGTTTTCTGACACAACACCTCTTTGATAGGGAGCCATTTTGAGCCTGCTCTCAATTTAAGAGCGTCACAGTGTGCACGAGAGTGTGGTACCTGGACATTGGGTGGCAGTGTGCATGGCATGTACATTAAAACAACTTCATAAAAGGGTCATCGGTATGACACGTTTTAAAAAAACAACAACAGTACTACGTATGATTGTAGCAATTTCTGCACTTTCTGAATTACAAAGTCTCTTACAAATGACTTTACTTTTTATAAACGGTATAAATACATTTTTTAAAATACAGCATTGATTCTTTTGGAATAACCCATGAGATAATCAACATTTACATTTTTATTAAATTATTTTCATGTATTTTTTTTATATCTGTGCAGTTTTAAAAACCCAAAGGTTTTACTGTATTAGGTCATGTCATGCTAAATGGAAAGCAAAATATTTGACCTTTGTAAAATTGGGATCACTACAGAGAGGGTGCATTTTAAATGGAAAAAAATAAGCTCCTTCATTCGTAAGGAAATTCAGAATTCTTATTAAGCTCATATTTTGATAATATATTAGATTTGAGTTAAAAGGGACTTTGTTGAAACTAAATAGGTTCGTATGAATATGTACACATTTCTTCAGTGCCAACCAAAACTATCAGGTATCTTCAACTAGCAAACCACTGCTGCCATCTGCTGGACAATTTACACATTTAATTCAAATGATACACATTTAGTTCAAATTACAAACTGAATTGACTCCTGTTGGCTTACGGTCAATTACTTACTTTACACTCATCACTGTAGTGTAGTTAGAGTCCAGGTGTGTGGGTAAGCAATGTCAGCATGCAAACGAGAACACTACAGCACAACAGGACGCTGGAGCGTTCAAATTATTGGTTGATGTCAAAATCAACAGTGTAAGGGCCCGTAGGTTCAAGTCCCTCAGCCAAGAGTGCCATTGTGTCATTTGGTAATCCACAATCAATTAAGTTTAAAAATACTATATACATAGTCGGGTATTGATACATACACACTTGTTTTTTTTTCTTCTTCGGAACAAAAGGAAGCAATTTGTAGTCATCATTTGTATAATAAATTACGTTAACTTTATCATTCTTCAATCAAATAAACATCCCATACTTTTGTATAAACTCACCCATGTGTGTCGTAAAAACGGAGCACCAGCAGGGAGCAGAATAAACGGGAACACACGCGAAGCAGCAGAGGAACTTTAAGCTCGTCACATCCGCCTTGTTCCTTCCTCTTCCGGTTTCGGCGTTAGCAGGTATGGCGGACTACTGCTTTACTCTGCAACATAACGATTTCAAAATCCAACGTAATCCTATGTTTTAGAAGAAAAAGTGGTTAATGCCACCCACCGACTATACTACAAATACGTTTTAGTTTCCAACGATGTGACCATTCTGTGAATATTGGGATTTCTGTTTGATATTTTAAAGATGGCAGGGTCCCTACGGCCGCTATCATTAGGTTAAGTTGCGTTCGGTAATGCTCGTGGCCGCGGTTAACTGCTACGCTGAAATGTGTTTTCACACCGAATACATTGAAATAAAACCCATGAAATCAACCCAGCAGTCTGTCCGCTTAATCCAGCGTGTTTCTCGTAAACCCGGGTGGTGGTGGCTAGCGGGGTTAGCATGCTAGCATCACGTTCTAACATGGTCTAATCTTTCCTCTTCAGATTCAAGATGGTGCATCGCCTGACTTACCGCCGTAGGTTGTCCTACAACACCACCTCCAACAAAACCAGACTGTAAGTCGGTTCGTGTTCTTAACGTTACAATGTGTCCGCTTCTGGCCGCCTGGTTGGGAAGCTGACATAAACACCACAAGGCGCCACTGACCTCCTGTGTAAACACTACAGCTGATCGCCGTTGTGTTGTGTTGCAGGTCCCGGACTCCCGGTAACCGCATCGTGTACCTGTACACCAAGAAAGTCGGCAAAGCTCCCAAGTCGGCATGTGGCATCTGCCCAGGAAGACTGCGTGGAGTAAGTATGACCGTTTTACTTTAATGCAGACGCATGTAAGATAGAGGCGCGTATTTGCCCCACGTGGGACTGGTCTCTATTATGTGCCTACTAAAGGAAAGGGATCCGGATCGAGAACAAAGTGATAACCCACACTAAAACTGCTTGGAAACTATGAAATACCTGTCAGGTTCCATGTGAAGTGAATGAGTACATTCTCTGAAGGCTTTGCTTCTTCTGCTGCAGCAATATCAACACCGCTCAACTTGCTTGCTTTTTTTTTTTTAATTTAATGCGGGACTCTATCTGTAATTTTAAAAAACAAACGTGTACTGATGTTTAGATATTCTTTGTGTCAATGAAATCAATGTTAAGGAATTCTTTCTTGACCTAAACTGGATACTGATGGCAAGAAGCTCTTTGTATTGTGAAAGTTTAAAATACTGGCCAACGCTGTTGATGGTATTTTTAAATTGTCCTTAAAGTTCTGCAAATGTTGGATCAAATTGATGGCTGGGACTACATTTAAAGGCTTGGGGGTATCCAGATGTGTCATTTAGTGATCCAGCAGAAAATGTTTTTGTAATTAATGGTTTATCATAAAAACACACTTGCTAAAACAAGTCATTTTAAATCCAAGCTTTCTTAATAAGATCTCAAACTGTTGGCACCACATTCTCTACTGATATTCTCAAGTGCTTTTGCACACGTTTTTCAAGTAATGTCTGTATTCAGAAAGGATGAAATACTGACCTGTTACCAAATCTATATGTAGAAAATATTTTGCAGCTAAAGTGTTGCAAACTGAAATTGAAGATGTCATTCTAAGAATACACGGGTATTGCATTTGATGACGGGTGTCTAACGAGCTCCATGTATTTTATTTAAATCACATTGGTTACATTCATTGCAGCATTTGAATGTGGGGTGTATATATATATATATGTATGTGTGTGTATATAATATATATATTTTGCCGGTGTCATGGATCTGTTCTGTCTTTTAGGTCCGGGCTGTTAGACCACGGGTTCTGATGAGGCTCTCCAAGACCAAGAAGCACGTCAGCAGGGCCTACGGAGGCTCCATGTGCGCAAAGTGTGTGCGTGACAGGTAAAATGAGCGTTTCCCTTCTCACGTCTTATCTGAGTGATGCCTTTGTCTTCACGAGGAGTGAGTTTCTCAGCGCTGTCAACATTCAAGCGAGCTGAGACTCTGATTACATTGCATGAGCCATTAACAACTTAAATCATTCTTTTTCCCATCGTTCTCAGGATCAAGCGTGCTTTCCTGATTGAAGAGCAGAAGATCGTCGTCAAGGTGCTCAAGGCACAGGCACAGAGCCAGAAATCTAAGTAAAACGTGTATTTGTATTGCCACAATAAAAAAATGACAAACAAATACATTTTCTGTTGTGATTCACTTTGTTTTGGTAAATGAGAAAAAGAAATTGGTCTGATATTTATATACAAATATAGCTTTGTCAGTTTTGCAGGAGCACTGAAATGCATCTTGCTCACTAGCGCCCTCCAAATATAGCTTTTATTAGAAATCAAAAGATTATTATACTTTATGCAGTTTCACATTGAGTCTTTTTCAGTGGCCCGTTGCTGAAATCAATGGCCTTACAGATTCATAAACACACTTTAAAATAAGTCCTTATTGACCAGTTTAAGCCAGCTTTACAGTGCAGGTTGATCCCACTGATCCCCATAACAAAGTTTTTGTATGACGTGAGATTGTGAAGACAAACCATTCGCTTATGGGCCAAATATTTTACCTGTACTCTCAGTGAAAGATCAACTCCATGTTTAAGCAGAAGGAAGTTACAAGTAGGCTACTTTTAAATCATTTACATGTACGACAGTCAATTAAATGTACAGCAACTGCACTGAAAATATTAAAATTTACTTTTTGGAAGCGTTTCGTGTGGACTGGATGCACCACAACGCTAACCTGAGAATACGCGTGGTAGGAAGGCTTTATATTTATATATACAGATATAAAGGCTTTATAAATGTCTATGGGAAGGATGCTCTGCGTATGAGGGAGAAAAAAAACATGTACTTCCGGGACACGTCAACACAGTCGCTCCTCAGACGGATATCAGCCACAGAGCCGCTGTTTTCTTTGGAGGTAGCGTTTCTTCCTCAGCCATGGAGACATTATACAGTATGCCGTTCGCCTTGCTGGAGTGCCCCAATGTGAAGCTGAAGAAACCCTCGTGGCTGCACATGCCGTCGGCCATGACCGTGTACGCGGTCGTCATCGTGTCCTACTTTCTCATCACCGGAGGTAAGGTTGAGTGGACGTGCTAAGCTAACGCCACCGCTAGCTGCTTGAGAGGAGCGTCTGCTGTGTGTGTCGGCATTTCACCAAAAGTTGATTTGCAGTTTGTGTAAAGCCAGATTGGAGCATTTGATCTGCATTCATAAAACCTCTTGCTAGCTTAATTAACGCAGTAAACGCGAGAGTAAGCTGAGCTAAGCTAACAGTTTAGCTAAATTGGCACCAGAATGCACCTCGCTCTATTTACAATGTAACCGTTAACGTTAATTGTGGTCACTCGGACCCCCGTAGCCCTGTTGTGTTAAACATACCGATAAATAATCCGCTTTAACGCTGCTCTCACCTCGCTAACGTTGTTTTTACGCTCTTAATCGCGTTGTCTTTCATTCTCCTCGCGCACTGCAGGAATCATCTATGACGTCATCGTGGAGCCCCCGAGCGTGGGTTCAATGACGGACGAGCACGGACACCAGCGACCAGTGGCCTTTTTGGCTTACAGGTAAACTGCGGCCAGTCGGTGATGATCAAGTCTTATTGAAGTCCGCAGTAAATAATGCAGCGTGTTTTTGTTTTTTTCCCCCCAGAGTAAATGGCCAGTACATCATGGAAGGACTGGCTTCCAGTTTCCTCTTCACAATGGGAGGCCTGGGCTTTATAATCCTGGACCGCTCCAACGCACCCAACATTCCCAAACTCAACCGCTTCCTGCTGCTCTTCATCGGTTTTGTCAGCGTTCTCCTCAGCTTCTTCATGGCCCGAGTATTCATGCGCATGAAGCTGCCGTAAGTCCCACGCGTGTTTTCCCTCCCACGCCGGTTCCATTTGTTATCCTAACACCAATCTGTGTCCTGGGAAAGTCATTGATCCTGTCATTCCTCTGCTCTGTTTTTATTTAGTCACAATGTCTTAACAAATGAATCATTTTGTCTTTTCAGAGGATATCTCATGGGCTAAAGACGTGCCGAGCAAACTTAAACTTGATTTGGATGAACGGCCACCAACGCCCAACTGACCTTCCTGTAATCGACTGTAGAGGACTGAAAGCACTGAACGTGTTCAAGAAACTAGACCCCGCTGCACTGGCTCCGTCTCGATGGTGTTCTTTGACTTTCTCAGTCTCAATTTGCCAAAAAGAAATTGTATAACAGAGGCAGAGTGCAAAATGTAATTAAGCAAGGGAGTTTCTTAGTCACAAAAGGGGGGGAAAGGAGGGCAAGTTACTCACCACCGTTGTTTGGAATCTGGATTAGGACTATATAAATCATTTAAAGGGGCAGTCTGATGTTTTAAGTTGTGCATTTTTGTAAAGAAATTGCCTACAACTTGTCACTGTTGCATTTTTGTACAAGGATGTGAAATAAATCTCCTTTTCAGAGCTCCTTGCAGTTGTCATGTGTGTGTACTGTTGAGTATATAAACACGTTTGGTCATTTTCTACAGCAACGTGTCGGCTGCACTGGGAAACAATTAATTCCTTAAAATGTTTGCACTTCCTGTTTGTATAAAATAAATCCACATGAGAATTGTAATCTGGCCTCCAGTAGATGGCAATGTGTAGTAATGTGACTACAGTTCCGAGCCTTTGGATCCAAGTTCATGTTGTTTCTAGAGGACAAGCCATTAGTGAGCCAGTGGTTTAAGGGTTCCATATTATCAATTAATCGCAAGAGACTATATTTCTTTGTCTTTTATATAAACCTCAGATCTACTTCACCGTTCTGCATAGACGTTGCTCTTTAGTTCAGCAGTGCGTGATGCACACAGGCCATTACGCACTGCAAGTTGCAGAGTCTGCTAAAACGCCTCCTGTTGACAATAGGTAATTGGTTGTAGCTCCTCTTCACCCTGTTTTCACAGGGTAGGGAATAACATTGTAAATGGGGATAAATATTGGTTTTTCCAGCTATGTGGGGACGCACATTAAACAAAATGTGTCAGTACTGCTCATTTGCTCCTTAATACGACACGACTGCTCACAATTACAATGACGTTTCTTCAGTTTCAGCTTCTTACAATCCACATATTGGAAGTAATAAAAAAAGGAGAGCAGTCATAAAGTGCGGCTGTACTTTCAACGATCAGACACGTCTGTGACGTTAATTGATAAGAAGGTGCTTTTATCAAAACATAAAGTACTACCGCTCACCAGTGGCTTTTGGATTTGTCTACATTCATTTTCCCTCAATGATAAAAAGACAATTTCAAAGACATCCCCCACATAAACTAAAATGGTGTTTGCCGTGTACATGTCGCATGCATTTGATTCAATCTGACCACAGGGAAGACTTTTCTCCATTTATTAACAAAGTATAACACTTTTGTTTTTATTTTAAACAGATGAACACAAAATGTGGAATGGCGTAAACGGGTGTTCCACACTTTAAACCCAATTGAGTAATGTTTATGAATCAGCATGAGCTAAATATCAATACTTAAGACTATTGGAATATTTTCTTTTTTTAAAAACATAGTATCTGTTGATTTATTACGAGTACACATGTTGTGTAGTCTGGTAGCTTGCATAATTAAAGGATTCAGAGGTACACAGTAAATTAACATTTTTAAAAACAGGCTACATAAAGAGGCACTTATTTTTTATCCTCATGCAAGTTTTTAACCCAGCTGTTTAACTTGGTAGAAGATAAGTGTGGGTAATTTAAAGCTGTGCCTCTGTTTGTAGGGAGTTTTATGTCCTTAGGCGTTTGGCTTGTTGAGGAAGTCCTCGACTGCTCCCTCGGTCGTGTGATAAGGCCCCGAGATACACGTGTCCATTTTCCTCTGCTGGCAGCTTGACATAAAACCATAAGAGAGAAGTTTAACTGTAAATCAGTGATGTGGAAACTCCTGTTGTGGTTATTCATTGCGCATGTATCTCCTTTATGAAACATTTATGAGCCTAGAGACATTTTGTCCAAATATAAAAGGTTTAAAGAATAAATTTAGTGATGTGAGCAGAGACACACTTACCTTTCTTTTACTGCTCCCATTCTCTAAACTCAATGCATTTTGCAACTTCAGGCCCAATGCCTCTTCCAGCTCTGCCAACACAATGACAGGTACAGCGAGAGATCAGTGAGCGACTGTCTGCAACCTTCTCACCTCGGTTCTTTTAAACAATGCACGAGCCGGTAAGAAGACAGGTTGTTCCAGCGGCAAACAATGGAATGTAAGTGAGCTGTGACGTACCTGTGAGAATTTGGTCTATTTTCCCCACCACCAGGTCTGCGTCCTCTTCGGTGAAGCACATGGGGGGCTTGAATTTCAGCACATTGCGATGAGGTCCGTCAGCACTAAGAAGAATGTACTGTTCCTTTAACCTGTGGGGGAGGATGTAAATTATTTCTTTCACATTGCATCCATTTACAATTCAACCATGGATCTGATAATGACGTCTTAGTTATAACTATAACTAAAGGTGGCGTAACATGCAAAAGCTAAACATAAACACACACATACATGCATGGAAATATAATGATGATAAGAGGAGCTCCTACTTTCAAATATTAACAAGAAAAGTACATTTGTTTTTACAATTCAACTTTATTATCCTTCTATGAATGGATAAGATTTTTGTGTGATAGTTGTTCTTCCCAGTGCGCTGGAGCCACCATAACTTTTTATGGGTGCAGTCATGTCAGCAAATAATGATTTCATTATTCTTATGACATCCGTCACTAATCTGATTTCCCACAGATACCTGTATATGACCTCTTGGGCCTCCGCTGTAGCAGGAGTAAGCGTCAACCTGTCCTTCACGAGCTCCACCCCGGCAAACAGGCCTCGACCCCTGCAGGATGTGACGCCGCATGGGTTAAGTAATCCCAGAACTCGGCTTAACGCTCAGAAATGTTGCACATTGGCTGTTAGGACATTTTTAAACCAAAATTCTTTTTTTCCGGTTTTCTCCCCCCTGAGATTCCATGTTTTGGATCAAAGTGATATAATTAAAGTTAAACCGTTTAAATTATGATCCAACGCCTTTTTTTTACCAGTATACAATAGGAGCTTGTTAGAACGGAATGTCAAGGGAAAGTGCGAAGTGTGTCATTGAGTTGAAGTTGGATCAGGGATTAAGTAAACATGTTATACATGTTCTGGTATTACAAGTCCTGGGTGTCCATTTTGTTACAGTGTTCTGGATCAAATGAAACTATTTGTGTGTCAGTGTGAGTGCGTTTACCTGATATCGCCAACTAGCGGGTGCTTCTCCTTCTGCTGTTCCAGGAGCCTGGCCAGGTACCCCCCCACACGCAGTGCATTGCCCTGGAGATCCTCTTTCGCGATCACGTCTAGGACGGCCGTGCCGATGGCACAGGACACCGGATTACCGCCAAACTGAGAAATTCAAACCACAGACACACACACACACACACACACACACACACACACACACACACACAGAGGAAAGAAGACACTCCGGTTACACACACACACCACCTTGGAAAATCTAAAAACTAGCAACACGTCCGACTCAATTATTTACAGAACCCAACTGGAAAAGATCCAAGCTGCAGCGAACTGACTGAAAATGAATTATATTCTCTTACAGTTGGAATATTATCCAAACTGTTCTTCATTCACAGAAAGTAACTGTAATCTGACTCAGTGATAAAACGACTGGCTCGGACGGAATGTGTTTTCTCCCATATGTGTAAAACAGATGTGTTGATACGCTCGGCAAATACAGACAAGAACATTAAGTCAAGGAAGAGGTCGGGTCAACTGGGGAGAGGGGGCAAGGATCATGTGATGTGTTCTCTGCAAGCCGCCTTTGTATTTTTTGTTGATGTCATTATCATTACTTAAAACATTATATTAAATTTTCTATGGACAAAAAAATACAATATCACATGCGCAATTCTCTTACAGTGTTGAAATACTCCATTCCGGATGACATGAAGGCCTCTGCCACCTCTTTGGTCGTGACCACGCATGACATCGGGTGACCGTTGCCGATAGGCTTCCCCATTGTGACGATGTCAGGTACAAAGTCTTCTCCCTGAAGCTGGAAGGCCCAGAAGTGGGTGCCGATACGCCCAAAGCCCACCTGCACCTCATCGGCGATGAAAATGCCCCCTGCCTTGCGGACGTGCCTGTAGAGTATTAGAAACTCGTATTAGTAACTCATTCTCTTCATAAGGCACTGTTTTTAATACTGCAATGCTGTCTGGGTTATATTCTCAATAAACTCTCAACTCTCTCATTCTGGTGTAGCTGCTATATGCGTTTCTCATTTGCACATGTTTAAAAAGCAAAAGACAAAAAGGGAGAAGGGAGCACACACATTGACTAATCTCTGCAGTAACTTGGGTACATACTGTGCCACTTGCTGGAAATAGCCCGTTGGGGGAATGACCTGCCCGCCACAACTCTGCAATGACTCCGCAATAAAAGCGGCAATCTGTACAAGAGAAAACCATCAGGCCTATACATCTGAAGCCAAATGGACACACTGGGAAACAGGAGGAGCTCCGGGATCTGACCCGCCAATCGCCCTCTTTCGTGAGTGAGCTGTCACTACGAAGTTGAAAAACAAGAGAGCGGTCATCATGGGTAGAAATGAATGTTAATGTACTGTAGGTCATTGTGGGAAAACAAAGAAAAAGTGCTGGCTTTGTATTCACTGGGAAACAGAACCCAGTTGTGTATTTTATGAGATCAGCACTTAATCACATACATGTATCCCTCCAGTATCACACGGGTTATTGTGCTCCTTTTGGTTGGTTTCCTCCTGTAGACGCATGTCTGCACAAACATCCGTTAGAAACACTCTGTAAAATCCCGGGGCAGATATCACGTCCCCTTCGCCAGTGGAAGCTGGGTTTTCTTGAGCCTTTCAACACACGAGTAAGGGCCAACAACCTTGGAAAATAAAGAGTCCGCTAGACACGTTCTTGTGAACTGGAATTTGACCGCAAACGCCAGAGTGCCTGGCCGTAACCTGAGAAAAGGAAAGAAAAAGGAAAAGGTGGCAAGTTAAGTATGTATTTCTTGAATAAAAAAGCGGGTTGTGTGCCATGTTGTTTTCATACTCAAGGGAATTAGACATTGCATAAGACATTTTTTTTTGTTATTCAGAGCCGTGTCCTTGAGGGGAGAAAAAGAGGGGGTGGGGGAGGGGGGTTTAAAAATGCAGCATCTAGCAAATAACATGTGTAGCCCAATTTCTGAAGTGGCTGCTGCTCACACAATATCAAAACAACTGTACCTTGCCTCCTTTTTCATGGACTCCGTGTATCATATCTTTGACTTCATCTGCATATGCTGAGGCAGGGTCAGGGTGGTCTGCTCTGTATTTGCCTCTGTACACATCTGGGCTGGGAGCCTGTGTAAGGGACGAGACACTGAGATGATTACTGAAGCCGACTCACAGGCAACGGCTGCGTCCTAATGAGTGTTTGTGGCACATCAACAAACAAAAAAGAGGCAAATAGTAAAGTATTCATGCTGACTTTGCTTTATGTTTGAGCGCAGTGGTGATGGACGTCTTTGTCCAAAAATACACACATGCTAGGAAAAAGAAGTTGAATTAATAAACGGACAAGGAGAGGACCACACAAGAGTAAACCTATTTACTTTTTTGACATGTGCCGAGTGTTTGGCTGCACTAAACTCTGAAATCCATCATAGTGTGAAGGTTTGTGTGAGTTCATGTGGCAGCGCTGCTGGAATTCTGCCAAGCACATTTCTAGCTTGGAACATGTCCCATTTTGCTTTCATCTCGTTTTACAAGTTGGTCCACAGGCGGACGTTCTCGTAACAGCTTCTGTGGTCGATGCACTAGGCGTCTCCAGAACCACCTACCGCCCCCGATGACACACGCACGGACTCGCAAAGGGAAAACAAACCGCAAGGATTTCGGTTGAATATTTTGTCGAGACTAACTCAAGATTACCCTGCTGACGAGAGCAACTATTTTGATGATTATCTAAAGGTGAAATAAAGTGTCACTTTAATTGTTGAATGGAAACTTTCCTTTAAAAAAAGACATTGTGTTTCATGAAAGAGCAACTTCCAGATTGAACAGATGTATTCTTAAATTTAAATTGGCTTGTATGAGTGCTTTCAGAAAACAGTTTTTCTGCTGCCGTTGTTAAAAAGTAATGGTTTTCTTTAACGGATCTCCAAAAGCAGCACTACAATCTCAGAACATGCGTTGTTAACTTTTTTGTCTTTTTAGTTTATCGGCGGTCCGGGGATGGGGGGGGGGGGTTATATAACCAACATGCTTTCTTGAAGCCTCTTGAAAACCTGTTAGTGTGAGTTGGGTCATGCTGTTTTCATAGTATGCAGGCAAAGCAAAGAAGGAAGATTTACACAAAAAAAAACCGCTCACCACATGGACCGTTTGGTTCCGCTCATCGTCCGACAAGTGCTGGAACTTATACGGGCTGATGTCGATGAGCGATGAGACGTGGCCGTGATACGCACTGCAAGCGAAGCAAACGCACGCCCGCCACAGAGAAAGACAGTCAGTTCTCTCAACTGCAAAGGGCCCTACTGATTGTGTCGAAAGGCCTTTCCAGTGAGCCGCCACGCACACCACCGGGGCCTTGGTGCAGTTAATGCTAATACTGCACCTCGATGCGTTCATTTTTGCTATCCTGGAACTTTGAACTAAAAGAAGGCACAAAACACTTACTTTTCCAACGTGATGATGTCTTTGTGGCCAGTGTACTGCCATGCCAGTCGGAGGGCCAGGTCGTTGGCTTCAGATCTGAAGTTCAGAGGGGCAAGGGTTACTTTGAGTTACTCAGTCACCACAGAATACACAAGGGAAGCCGTGGTCGTCTCAAGCAAGCAACTGCAGGGCATGCGAAGTGACACCTGTTCATCAAATAATAAATAAATCATCCATAAATGTGTTCACTGGAGTGGTAGAACGAATGTCGTTAGGGCGCCTTCGCGCGATCCCTTTTGGTTTTTATGACGTGTAGTTAAAAAAGCTGGTCAGCCTCTGGCGCAAAAAGTTGTCTACTTTTCTACTGCACCGGTTCGTTTACAGCAGAAATGAATTGACGTTGGAAAGCAACCTCAACGGCTGGCAACCTGAGGGCAAATAACTCTGCATTGATTAGTTTTCTTCCACGTTAGGTAAAAGATATGTGCATTAATATTATGTTATAATAGCCTCAACCCTTCTGGAAAATCTTTCAACGTGATTCTGGAAGCTGACTGCAAAGATTTGCCCCTATTCATTCCTATGAGTGAGGTGTTCACACCTTCTCATTCAAGTGAATGAGAAACGGTCTTCACATTTGACATGTTGCATAAGGACTTAAAAAAACAGTGCAAGGGTTACTTAAGGACTTTGTTTTGTCTATTTCATAATTCTCTTGAGGCACCGATCCTTAAACAGGTCATTCCTGTTCACACTGGTGAACTCCAGAAACTGGTGTAAATAAGTAACCAGACCAGACTGGTCAAGTTTGATAATGAGGGTTCTCTAGGGCGGGGGAAAGCTAGACCAGCATTTTATTTTATAGTTCCATCGTCTGGTTATTGCCTACATGTAGGAGTGCTGACGTGAAATTTGAACTTTCGTTTATTACGTCACCTTTTTTATTTGTGGTTCATATTTATCGTACTTGAAAACCCGCACAGGCTGATGTAACGAGGACAATCTCCCCAACCATATTATTCTTTCCCTCTTGACATTACAATTTATTGCTAGCCATAAATGTCTGGATTGCGCCCTTTTGTCTTCCAGAAACCCGATAGACTCTCGGGTTTCCGATTGCGTATTTAGGCCGACCCGAGACAAGACATCATTGCCAATCAAGTTTACCCACATACCCTGAGTTGACAAAGTAGCACACAGAGAGCTTGTCGGGCAGTGTGGCCTGCAGCCTCTGGGCATACAGGACAAGGTTGTCGTGCAAGAAGCGCGAGTTGGTGTTGAGCAGTTCCATCTGCTGAGCTCCCGCCTTCACCACATCCGGGTGACAGTGGCCCACTTGGGAATGGGAGAAAGGACGCACGCAGGATTAGAAGCGGTCCTCGCGGGACAAAAACATGCTTTTAAATCATTTGTAACCATGACAACTGATATTAAAAGGCACATCATGGGAGGCCACATGCTTGAATTAAAGAGCGGTGATTGTAGCACAGCTTAAGTAACTAAATGAGGCGGACATCACGTCCTAACTTAGAGTAGTAGTAGAGCAGATCTTTTGGTCGCGTCAGTCTGCTCACGCACTCCAGTGGAAATCACAAATATAACACCTCACGCTTTGGAGGGACATTTGAATTTGAATTTATATAAGATTAGGTCATTTTTATGTAAGAGAACAGCCCTCTCATGCTGTGTGGTTTCTGTTGGACAGAAAGTGGTGGAAAGTAGAGCTGATTATATTTGTGTAGCACTGATTATACTTGAGTGTGCGCTTACCGTGAGCCACATTGTTGATGCAATCCAGGTAGCGCTGTCCTTTTTCATCATACATGTACTGGCCTTTGGCTCGTACGATCTTGACGGGGTCATGGCTGAAGAAAATCTTACAAGAAGGCCTGCAGGGGAGCCAATATCATTATTCCCCTATGTGCAAAATGTGCCCCATCATTGTGATTTGGCAGGTTTTATGTTATTATTAAGATATTGACATGAATACGTGGAAAAGGCAGAAAACAGAAATAAATATAAATACATTGGAACGCAGAAAAATTAACTGCTGATTAGCTACAACTACACATTCTAACTAAGAAATATAATTAATATATAATTGATTTGGTGGGGGATACATTCTCTAAAATTCCAGTTTATAAAACCTCTCGAAATGTTTCCCAGTAACAAGCCTGAAAAAAGTTGTGAAGCTGCAAATACTTAATTGCAGAACGTCAGTGGTCTCACCCGATGTGCTTCTTCCGCAGGTCTATGGTCTGTTTTTTCACGAATATTTCCGCAGCCATCCTGCTGTTGTCGAGCTCTTTCCTCAAAGATAAGCAACATCTGCCTCAGCGCAAATAACCCAGCTGTACCTGCTGTCAAGGGGCTGTACCACACGCACAAGAAGCCGCCGCCCCCCTCACCTCCCCCCCTTACACAAGCACACACACACGCTCTCTGGTGCTGCTGCTGCCACCTAGCGGCAGTCACGGCGGACCGGTGACGTCATCAGCAGCGAGCGCTCCGGCTGTTTAAACAAACACTTGTCCCACAGCTGGTTGAAAGGCCCTCGTGTATACTTTTATAGGTTTCCATTTAATTAGATTTTATACCTAGCTGCATTTCAGAAGCAGATTTATCAAATTAATAACAAGGAATGCCAAATTAGCAATAAAAACCGAGGCAGTACAGTGCGATACAAATGATCAACTAGCTTCATTATTAAAAACAGCTTCCACCTTTCAGGCATCAGTATCAATAATCTAATTGCATAAGAGGACAATAGAACACTATTACTAGTGCTACTAGTTGTATTCGCATACAGGTGCATATAATACAATTATTCATGTAGAGAACGTCATAATAATTGAACTAAGAACCTTAAAGGAATACGGATTAACATAAAAGCAAGTCTAATGTTTGATGTAATTGAAAGACTGTTTATTTGGCTCCAACAGTACAGTAATATGAAAGGTCATCTTGAAATATAATAGCTTGTGAACACCAGGGTCTTTAAAGAAATGTCAATCAAGTGGGTAAAAAAATGAGGAATACAAACAGAACAAAGTGAACAAATACCACAACCAAAAAAATGCCATTTTAACAGAGAGCCATGAGGTTAACTGCGTTTGATCTCGGAGGGCATGCGGCAAAACCCCTATTTCAGTAAGGCTGCGGTGTATTACAGGTCACTAATAATGCAGATGGGTTGGATTTTTTCAATTATCCTTCAGCAGTCTAAGAGGTGTTGATGATTCAAGCGTGGACTTTGGGTGTAGGCTTGTTTTTCTTGAGAGCAAGACTTTGACTCAAAGCCTTTCTGCAACAATGACACACAACCCACTCACACAACCACAAACGTTTTTTTTTTGTTGCATGCAGTCATTTTGGAGCCTAACCTGAACTCTGCTTAATACTAATATTTTGGCACATCTGCGATAAGCAGAAGTAATTTGTTTTTTACTTAACAAAAAAACAATCAACAATCAAACAAATAAAAACAGAATTAAAAAAAATACAAAACACAAAAACTTAGCTGCACATGCTAAAGGTACAGCAACTTGTACAGAAATACTGTGACAAAGTCTGGAAATTAAAACACAAATAAAAAATAAGACAAAAATGTAGTAGATATTAAGTAATGGAAATAACCTTTTGAAACAGAGGAGACAGAATTTGAGGAAATATTTCAACCAATCCAAAATTGAGATTTAATGAAAGGTCCTTGTTTACATTTGTTTCTTTGTCTGCTGGTAAATAAACCAGGCAGTGGCATACAGGGTAGCACGACTGAACAAATGGAGCTATCAGAAACCACAATGACGTGACGGTTCAGCTGCGTTTGATGCTGCACACATTAACCAAAGCATAAATTGCACTTCTTGTCAAATGAGAACACAGACTAACAGTACATTAATAATCCACTATACATATATCAAACTACATTCAATGCAAAGAGAGAAAGAGAGAAGAGGAAACGTGAGAAAAAGCTGTGATGGTGATCACAGGGCCTGTCAACACTCGGGCCTACTCTGTTGTCTTAGATGGCGTTTTGACAAACACAATTAAATAAAAGTGGACAAACCACTGTAAGGCATATAATCTGGATTAAATGCTCAGTGAATACACACTGGTCTGGTTCTTTTTATAAATGTCCACCATCCTCCAGAGCGGTGCATTTGCAGCACCAATGCAAATGAAAATGTGACGTCTTCGGATAATCCAAAATGCTTCAGAATATCGAGAGAGACGTTGTGGAAACTGAGAGCAAAAGCCAAAACAACTGAAAGGAATGCTGTTTAAAACCAAAATGCCTTCATTTAGGAAATTATAAAAAAATAAATAATGACTTGCAAGTAAAATATTGAGAGAAATACACAAATGTATGCACAGAAACACTTTAAATTGTTACATTTGTAAAACCAACAACAAACAAACCTGTGGTGAAGTTCATGCCATTGGTAGAGCAGTTGTTGACCTTCTGTTAGACAGCAACATTATAATCTATACAGACGTACATCCACTCTTTAGAACGATGAGAAGAACCGTACAATCAAACAGAAACTGTATGCGCTGTGGTTGCTGCTACATCACAACAAAATGTTGGTGTTTCTTACCGGTAAAACATTTCAGCTGGTTTAAAATGTTGAAAAGAATATCAAATATCCCCTTGCATAGCACCCACTATGTCAAATGGCAATTTGAAAGTAAGAAATATGAAATGGATAATCTACGTTGAAATATAAACCTATTGCTGCATTTCATGCTCCATTTGATATGGAATGTGACATAAATGACCAGTTAGACTACGGTGAAATAATGGAAGTTAACTGATTAACTGTCAAACTTTGCTTTTCTTGCACTGTAATGCATGTTTTATATATATTTCTACGGGAAAAACGAGGTGTAAAAGAGCAGCGTAATGCCACAGAGATTGTTCTGTTCAACATGACCTGACACTTTGGTGCTTAGTTTGAGCTGAATGAGCCCCAGCGCTGAAACAATGCTCAGGGCGGCCAACGCTTTCCCAAATCAATACTGTTTTTTAATATTTAAGAAATCCAGAAGTAATTGATTGCGTACATGCAGTGAATCGACAAGACTGTACAACTATAATCCCATACAACAAGTCCAGAATGAACAAGTGGCATGTTTCTTTTGTTGGATATGTTTTACGCAAACAACACGAGCTTCTTCAAAAGCATAAAATCTGAGGCAGGTGAGATGGAAGCTGTCACCTCCCTGCTATTTCAACACATATCGTCTAAAAATGATTCCTTTTAAAAAACAGCGAGTGTCTTTTCAATACTCTCACGACACCTCACTTGTTCGTACATAGCTTACTCTCCTGAAATAAACCCCATTCCAATAATTGAAAATACAATATAAAGTTAAACATTTCGGATAAAGGAATGAATAAAAGCTTGAGGCACCAAAGGCTATCATACACAAAATACAAAACAATGTCAAAAGAATGAGAGCAGAAGGAAAAAAGAAATGAACATGTTTGCATTCTGCCGTTGCCCTCGGCCGCTCCTTTGCTCAGCCAGATGCTCCGGCTGATCTCCATGGAGATCGAGGAGGCTCCTGAGCGACCCTCCCGCAGAATCCATTTCGGCCCCACTCCTCCTGAGTGCGTCCTCAGCGCGCCTCTCGTGAGCCCGATGTGTTTTCCTAAAACGGGGAGGCCTGCTGAGTTCTTCCCCTCTTTGTCCCGAGACACGTGGCCGTGGGAGGCGCCACGCTGAAGACGAGGATGGCAACAGTGAAGACCTGCTGTCGCACCCTCTGCAGGTCTCAACCACAATAAAGCAACAATAACCAACAGCTTTACTTTCGGGGGGGGGTTTGGGGGGGGTTCAGGCTACCAGCCATGGCGTGATTCCCTTGGGGAGATTAAAGGAAAGCAGAATTGACTTGATTTAGAGCTCTGGGGTTGTTGTTGTTGTTTTTTTAATGTTAGTGTTGTTTTTTCTTCTCTGCAAAAGCCGCGATGCAACCACAAAACATTGACATGTATGTAGCAGTAGATATAAATGTAGTTTCAGTACTACTCATGCTTTTGCAGGGTCAGAGTTGCAATGTTCTGTTTGGCACAGTTCTTTTTTTTGTTGTTGTTGTGTCTTTCAAAAGTGGTGCTGCATGAAGGAGCGGTGAGCTTGAGACCAAACAACACAGAACACCTAGCGTTTGGTGTTAGAGAAGCCAGTCCAGATCCCACTCCTCTTCCTCCTCCTCCTCCTCCTCCTTCCACTCTTTCACGCAGGTCTGGCCGGGCCGTGGAGCTCCAGTCCGAGCCATGCAAAGACTACAGAGACAAGTCCTGCTGCCAGCCGGGGATCTGAACTCCACCGCGATATGGATGTGAGAAAGCGGACACACAAGTCTTTTTCGGTTTTTCCACACGGCGATGTGAGTAGAAGCAGCTAAGAGAGCGTGAGGCGCGGGACGGTTATCTCTTTTTGTTTCGTTGTACACATAGACTTCTTTTTCTTTTACATATATTTTTTCCCCATTAAAAAAACTATAAATACCATAAAAGAAGCATTATTTACAAACTCCATGCGTTTCAGGTTAGAGTGATCACTGCAAGAAAAACACAAGAGAGAGAATGACATAAAGATGGGACAGTTTTTCACATTGTTTCATGACAAGTTGTACAATCTGGTTTTTCACACAACAATCAAACGTTGTTGTTATTTCACAGAAAACCCATGCGGACATAGAGCTGAAACCTACATGAAAAAAACTAATTCACAGTGAACAAAATATGAGGAGCACTTTCCATATCAATATAAACAGGAAACTAAGTTGTCGAATAACAGTCCGAAACCTCTGATTTCCCTTTCAAAACCTTTTCAATAAACAAAAGCATACTGCAGATTTGGCCTTATTATTTGATGACTTTGTAAATGTCTATAAGTGGCCTGCTGAAATGTGAATTATTACTCAAAGGCTTACCTTCTGCCAGCATCCAGGCATTGGTAATCCATCCGGGCCCTGTGCAGACAAAGTAGCAGGGAAGAAAAACAACATGAGGACTAAAAGATGAAGGGGAGGTTTAGTGTTAACAGAAGCATCCAAACAATAACCCAAAGCACACGTGGGAGATACCGCAAGCCAATTGAGAGTAACTTCTTCACAGGATCTTTACGTAAAAAGAACTTAACCTACAGTGAATACTGTACAAGCCTGGAGTAACAAAACTTTCAATATGGCGCTGCTTGTTTCTATGTCATTAATGCAGATACCACATTTGTCTCGCTGGGATAAAATCATATGAAATATTGCATAAAGAAATGACAACTGCAACAGTGTGTTCTTATTCATGCACGTAACACACGGCAAAATATATCTCATGCACATCTATACATTAATGATTCTGCCCTCTGATTTCATTACAGTTGCCGCACAGTTGCAAAAGCACAACGAGTTTGATTTAGGGACAATATGATAAAATCAGAGGATTTACATCAAAGTAAAATCATTGCAGCTGGTGTATATACTGTATAATACAATGAGATGACATTTGTGATATGAGATGGTTTCTTACCTACTATACCTCATTTTCTTTCTCTACATTCTTGCTCTCTACCCTTAAATAAGTCATAATACTTTAAGCACTAATCATAATAATGCAAGAATTTCCATGCATTGCACATCTGAAGCAGAAAGCACCATAAAAAGCATGACATTTGAAAGAATCTGGTCATCTTGACTACGTCTGGAGCGATAATCCATCTCATTTATTGTTGTACCCTTGTCGTCACGGTCTGGCCCAATTGGTACAACTACAGGAAGGGGAAAAGTGGGAGTAGGAGTGGTCCAAAGGCACCAGTAAAGGAATCTTTGTTAGCATCAGGTTAAAAGGTAACTAGTCCATGGAGGAATCAGCAGGAGGGAAACAGGATTTACGCTTTTTTTTCCAGTTACAATCAAGGGAATGGAAGGATTCAGTTAGAAGGATAGACTTAATCAATAATAATTATAGGTTTATTTTGTGCATTTTGCTTACAATGATATGTATTTTCTAAAAAAAAGGCTGCTTGCTGTGAGGAGGTTAGTACATGAAGATAAATGTGGGTGCATGTGTTTTCTTTTGCTTTTTAACAATAAATGGAAAATGTAGTTGTGATTAAAATGATGTGTGTTCATGCCCGTCGAGCTCTGAAGTCATGCACGTTTTTGTTTCAGCAATGACTGAAGGTGAGCGGCATGCATGGGTAAGAGGTGGAGGAAAAAGAGAAATACTGTACCAATTGGCACGGGGCATCCAGCCCGTCCAGACCTGGCTGACCTGGTTCCCCCTTTTCACCCTTAAATCCCCGGAAACCCTGTTTGCAAAGATGACCTAGGAGTGTTACTGGGAGAGAGGTGCCTGACCCTTGACCCCTGCCTCTGTCCACTACAATGGAGACAAGGAGGGGGGGGACGGACACGGGAGGAGCTGCCCTGTGAGCTTGCTGATACCACAATCCAGCCCAATGATGCGTTTTTTTAACATTTAATGGTAAGTTTTTGTACGTCTGAATTGCAAAGTTGCAGGAGATTAATAGACTCCGTGTTTCAGGTTGCTGTGGTCTGATGGACGCCGGGTATCTGTTTAGCCACAGGGCGCTCATCCTTGTTTGGGGACGACCGCGCTACACGGCTGGAGAGGCGATTTCCAGCTCGGGACATACCAATGGGCAGGGTGCATCTAATCCAGGGGCACCCTGTTCTCCTTTCTCGCCCTTAGGCCCTTTTTTGCCCTTCTTTCCCTTCTCCCCCTGTGGATACAACGTTTTGGTCAAGTTAGAATCACCTTTTTTTTTCTTTTACATTTGGGACAGCACTAATATTAGGAAGGGTGCAATTATAAAGGGAGTCTATGGCTCACAAAGGAGAAAGACACATGTCCAGCGTTAGAAAGGAGGGGACTCCAGACAGTAATGGGTATTCCGAAAACATTCCTTAGGGGAGGAAAAGGACGAAAATAGGGGAATATTACAATAGGAAGGAGTAAGAAACAGAGCTGATCGGTGTCAGGGGCAGGAAGGATGAGAAAGAGAAGCAGGGAGAAAAACCCTCCAGGAGGACAGAATTAAATCCAACTACACACTGGAAAAGCAACCCTCCAACTTCTGGTTAGATTCAGTTATTTGTGTCATACAGAACATGCATGTGAGGACAACAAAATCCAATTAAAAAAGGACATCAATTGTTGGGAAGTTGGTGTAAAACAGTGGAAATAATTTCTTTGCAATAAGCATTCCAAGATGTAATAATACAGCTACATTTTGTCCCTCGTGAGATGAGATGTGCAATTGTTTTATACAAGATTGTGCTTTTAAAGGTATGAATTTTCAGAGAAATGTTATCGTTATGTTTTGAAAAGGAAGTACTTTCTTCTTGATTGTCATTGAAAACCTTTCCAATTCAAAGTTGACTGTATTTGTCAACCAACGTCCAACTTGTTAATATATCTCAGCACTGCTTCTGTTCAGGTTGTTTAGCCACAAATGGAACACAATTACAGAGACGCCAGAACGCAAAATGCTAATCATTAATATCAGAGATGGGATACAAAGTGTTATTGGATTAAAACCAATAAAATACAGTAAACTACTGTATATACCAACAACAAAGAGATTATCAACAAGCGTTCGTGTAAGTGACATGTTTTAAGTGTTCATGCATGACAACAACAGAAGTAAAACCAAATGTGAATCTTAAGAGCCTGCTGTCAATGGACTTATGTGCTCTGCTGTGTTTTAATCACTTTCTTTGATGCCCCAGAATAAGATTTGACTCGCGATTTTGAGAAATGAGATGACAATTCATTCGGAAGTGGAGGACAAAACCTTGAGAGGACAGGATGATATGTTCTGCAAAGAAAATATATTATGTTGCATGTAATTATTATCCAATGGTTTAGTTAAAAATCTTGAGATGAGTTACCCTTTTAAGAAAGTCAAAACTCTATTTATCTCATTTTACATCATAAGTAGTTTCCCATTGTCTCCAAATCACTGTATAGACCTATTTTATACACATTTTGATTCATAATTCAACCCCTCTATTCCTTCCAACAACCATATATACTCTGATTTGTGAATTATATTACAAAAAACTAAGCGTATCCTAAAAAGTAAAACACCTCCATAGTTCATGTCCCCGTCCATTGACATCAGTCATTTGTTATACGTTAAAGGGTTGTCAAGCCATCACATCCTGTCTACATCTACCTTTTCTCCTCTTTCCCCAACGTCGCCTTTCTCTCCCCTTAAGCCTGACGACCCCTGCAAAAGTCCACTACTTAATCACTCTGGCTTTACAATGCAGAGACAAGACGGAGTATTTCATCCAAATCCCCCTACAAGTGTCCACGTAGAAAAAAACAAGCACCATGCATACAGACACTGGAGCTGTGCCTTATAACCACTATTTTTGGTAGTTATTTTATCTAACCAGTCCATTATTTAAAGCATCTCCCTTGTAGTTCCCGCTTGGACAACCTGAAGAGCTACAATTTTGGGGCAGTTGATTTAATGAAGCTCCCTGGACATTCCTTATAATCGAGTATGCATTTCTCACGTACACAAAATCAACATACTGTGCAGTCAGAACAAATTACCGACTTAAGGTCCAACTACTTTGTTTACTAACTAGTTAGTATGCGATGCCATACTGCAAGGGTCCATGTTCCAAGTTTGAGTTGGGACAATCGACTGATTAGATAATAAGCCACGGTGTGGAGCACCATGCTGCAAGTCAACCATAATGTGTACAAGATGTTGATAATGAAGTGAAGAAGTAAGATGCAGGGATGTCCTTATTTAGGATTTGTGCGTTTCTTCTCACTTACTAAATGAGTTGGATTGGGGAAATATGCGAAGCAACTACAGATTATATTCTTACATTCTTACAAGCTTTAACTTTATGTGTATGTTTGCGGTTTTAAAGAGCTATTTTAGATAATGTGAGATGAGATCATGGGTATAAAATGTGATGCTTCTGAGATATGAAGCATTTACATATGCTATTTTTAAACATTAACTGATGATCGAGGTAAAATCACATTAAGTTCGGCTTTTGATAATATTAAAAAGCCTTCTTAACTTTTTTATATATTTAAATGCTTCTCTACCAAGCACCTTAGCACTGGAAGATGCATTCACTGTCACGTACGCCTTCAAGGAAAACTGAAAAAACAATATTGAAAGATACGTACATCCAAGCCCGGTGTTCCAGCGGCTCCCTGCAAATAAAGAACATTAGCTGTATTATCATTACGCAGTCAACACTCCAAAGGCTAACGTGTATCTCACTATCTCAATCAATGCCTGCACCAATATAAAAAGGTCAAACATGTTTTAACATCGATGCGTCCGTTAAATAAAGGGGCATTTATTGTACTGCTCAAAGTTGGCATTTATTGCAGAATGTCTTTGATATAATAATGAACTGATTATAACTATAACATAATCACTCTCGGCGTTCAACTCTCAGTGCTCCCGACTTATCTGAGCTTTTCTTCCACATGATAATATCTTTATTGTACTTACAGGGAGTCCATAAGGTCCCCTCGGTCCTGGTTCACCTGGTACTCCTCTCTCGCCCTAAAACAAAACAAGCACTGTTGAAATCATATGCAACTTTTCAATGATAAGAAAAAAAGACGTAAAATCAAGATTTGATTACTGATTCATAAATCGGACATATAGTTGATCTTACTATGTCCCCCTTTGGCCCGGCTGGACCAGCTGCACCGGTGGGCCCATCCATGCCCTGCAAAGAGCAGCATTATCGTGGTGAGTTCAAACCTATTTCAGGTATATGCAAATAAAGTGGATTTTCCAAATGAAAACCAGATGGAAAGCAAAAATGACGTCAAGCATCCACATTTGTACGATATTCCCGCCAGGTTTGACCTACAAGCAGCGTACAGAACTGCTGCTGGAACACGTGCGTTGGCAACAAAGGACATCTTCGACACTGCTGACACTGGTTAATGAATGAGCGTGTGTTAATGTGGAGTTACTGCAACACGGGACAAAAAGGGAGCCCTGAAATGTTTCCTGTGTGACCGTGGCTACGATGTAAACATTAGACAGATGTTTATTGAACTTTCTCATCCCAGGGAAATACAATAAAATGGAGTGATAGTGGTAATAGATTGTGAGGGGGGTAGGGGCCAAGGAGGGGGGGGGGGGGGGGGGGGGGCTGTATGGAGGGTGAGAGGAGAAAAAGTAGGCAGGCGCTGGTTGGTGAAGCCTCTTGGTCACTTGACACTCACCCTGATTCCGGGCTTGCCGTCCAAGCCGGAGGCTCCCTGCGTGGTTATGGAGGTATGAGTGACATGAACAAGGCGGGATTAGTACCAGATGAACACTGTTATTCAGGACAGGTTGATGGCAGGGTTTACAACAGCTAAATTACACTGTGTGTTACGGGGAGTCAGCCCAGGGGACGTGAAAATGAAGACATCACATGACAGCGGGCCACATAGCGCACGCACACACAGAAAAACAAAGACTGACATACGAATACTACCTCACTTAAATGGGTACAGTAATGCATTAAAACAAAACATCTAAAATACAAGCGACTCATTTATATGAACGTCTAATTGGATCAACGGGGCTTCGAGGCTGGAGATGCCCCACGGGTGCACGTCTGTACTTACCGGGAGACCCAACGGTCCACGATCCCCTTTGTGTCCCACCTCTCCCCGAATCCCCTTCACGCCATGCATACCAGGTTCCCCCTATAAAAAAAAAAAAGATAGCCATACATACAGTCACAATGCCCCGAATGAGGGTTGTTGTCATGAGTGCGATATCATACTTCTTTGCTGAGATTTACCTTTGATCCAGGGAAACCATGGGGGCCCTGAAAACATTGCAAAATACCAGTTAGTGGTTGGCCTCACAATCAGTATTTATGACTCTATACAAGCTCTTTTTTGTCCCGGCCCCCCCCACCTTTAATATATCCTCAATTCCCATTGTCTCCAAATCACTGTCAATAAACTGCTGGTAAAGATGTGCATGTGTCGGGATGGAACAAGTAAGTATTTGAGTAAACACTCACCATGGGTCCTGGGGGTCCGTGGGGCCCTGGTGCCCCTGGAGAGCCGACGATCTGTGAAGTTTCCAACAAACATCTTTAATAGAACTTCTTGAGTATGTTTACGGTGAGTGAAAATAAACATCTTCAGTGTGACTTACTGAAGAACCTTGAGGGCCGGTCGGACCGGAATCTCCCCTGTCCCCCTTTACCCCATTTACACCCTACGGAGCAAAAGCGTAATGAGACACGTTTGGTTTCCATCAAACGCGGCGGTTTTTGACAACCATACGTAAATATTTCAAATAGTTGGCACACATATCTGGATTCTTACAGGCAGGCCGGTTAAACCGATTGTTCCTTTCTCTCCTGAAGCTCCCGGCATTCCCATGTCTCCTTTAGAGCCTTTGTAGCCCTAAAAAGGAAAGAGAAACATGTAAGTCACGTATTCCCATCGTGGAACAACACAATAATACAAATTAAAATTTATGAAACGTCTTAAGCCTCGGTTTATTTACTCCTCTGAGGTAATAATCAGTTATTAACCGCATCAATGATATCATTTAAACATAACAAACTCACTCTTTCACCATCGAGTCCAGGCAGACCGGGCATCCCGCGATCACCCTGCGAGAGCACAGATACACATTTTAAACAGTTGGTGGAAAAAAGGTGTCACAAACTTTGCACTGGTGAGAAAAACATTCTAAATTGTATTTGAAGCACAATGTACGCTTACCTTTATACCTGCAGGTCCTATCGGCCCAGGAGGTCCAGGAGGACCCTGATCACAGAGAGGGGGAAGCAGGAGGGGATTCAATTTGATCAATCAACTCAAGATATACACCTTTCATTGGGGTCGATTGTTTCAATACCAACCTATTTCATGAAGACAACAAGCTATATTTTATCAGTGGATCTTACCATCCGAATGAAATGACTTGCAAACAGCGCAGGAAATGTTAACAATCGGCGATGAACAATGATGCTCAACTGATAGGCACATGCCATAAGTCAGAAAACATGTTAGCTACAACAAACAGGTACATAATAATCAGAGGATTGGGATGAACACACTTAGAACAGGTATGATTGTCCTAAACCTGATAATTCCGATCAAAGATGTCCTTAAACCACCACCAACGATGTTGAGATGTGGGAAGGATGACTTGTAAACATTTCTTTGTGTGCGATGCTAAACATGCAACGTTTTTATCCTTCTAACCAACATAATATGCAATGCTGAGAAAATTATGCTTTATTGGTTTGTGTTTGTGCAAAAACTCCCAACTTCAATAAGTTATAATACGTATATTCAGTTGTCTTAGTTCGTATGTTACTTAAATGTAACACAAAGCAGAAATCAGTGACATAAAATACCTCTTCCTCCCACTTCTCTATAATAATATCTGGCTACAACAAGACACAAACCTTAAGAAAGTAGGCTCTTAAAACTAGATTTTGAGCAGCAACATTGTTCAAGACAAGTTAACTGATAAAGCAGCACAAACTGTGTGCTGTTATCATATCAATCAATATAACCTTTGGTGCATACTGCATCAACACAAACTGGTGCCTTTGCCCTCTTAGAAACCTAGCTTCATCTATAACTGGGCCCTCTGTGTGCTTTGAGTGATTTTGACCAAAAAGTGGACCGTTTTGAGTTTTGGGGAAAAGCCCTTGTCATACATTTACTGATTAGGTTGTTTTAAATGACATCCTAACAACGTTCACTGTGACGAGCAGCGACGCGGGCAGCCTGCAGGGTCAATCACAAAGAAGCACAAACGCAGCGGCGAATACTCTTTTCATTCGTTGTTAAGCAAACACTACCTGGGCGAGGCGGCACAAGAACGACAATACAATGGTTGGGATTCGGTGAGGCCCATGCGAGGACGGAGATGAATCAATCGTGAAGATGACAGAATACAAAAGAACACACAGAGCCTCATTACCGTGATTGTAATTGTGGTAATCTTCTGCGGTAGGCCGAAGGAGTGGTTATGGGAAGGAGGCAGGAGATAAGATTGCACAGGTCACACAATAGAAAACCTTTGTGTCAGCACATTACGGCAGAGAACAGCCCTCAGAATGAATTAGTCATTGAAGAAGAGATGACAGCCTGTTTATCTGTAGAGGATGTGCCGTGAATAGTGTCACTTTGAAGGAGTCAACCGTTGCATTTTCCTCTGAACCATATAACAAACAACGAACCATACATTTCTATTGATTAAGTCCAACATTAATCAAGAAACGGGCCGTGACGCTGCAGCGTTCCGCAGGTGAACTCGGCTACTAGACGCACTTCTGCTTTCAGCAACTCTGAAGGAATTAAAGCCATGAAGCACTCGCCTTATGATTGTGTTTCCCAAACCTTTGTAACTGGCTGCCACATTTTGTAAACCTCTGCTTTTGTAGAACTAATTATTTAATCTTATATTATTTTTGAGGTGAGATTATTTATCTTTTTTTTTACATCTGATCAATGAATGAATAACATTATTCAGCAGACATCGTGCTTTGTGAAGCAAACAGAAACAACATGAATGTGTTTAGGCAGGTAGTTGTCTGACCTGTAAAGCCTCCTGAATGTTTCCATTGTAGTCAACGATTTCAGTGGCCCCTTGGTCTCCTTTCTGTCCAGGGGGGCCCTGCACATTATTGACATAAAACAAAAAAACACATTAAGCCAACGTTTTCTACTCCTACTTTAAACATGACTCTATGCATTTAATAGCAGCATCAGTAATAACTGCAAGGGTTAGACTTCTGCCTCCTGGTGGTAATCCAAGGGAGGTGCAGGAGCTCGTGGGAGATCAAAGCGTTTCACGCTACTCAAATACGTCATGAAGTCCTCCAAGAAAGCAAAGAATAGAAGCAATGTAACCATTTACCTTTGGACCGGAAGAGCCAAGTTCTCCTTTGTCTCCAGTCTCTCCCTAACGTGAGAAAGCAAACCAAAATTAGAAAGAATTGACAATGCTATAATAATCACGCTCTCCATTGCAGAGACACAATAACATGGAATATGTTTTGTAACCATACAATCACAACATTTTGTGACACACAATATAATAAATGTTGTATTATTTTAAGGATCTCAAGGAATGCAATTGAGTTTTGATTTGATTTAATTCAGATTTGTTCAATGTGGAGGACCTGGTACGAGGGCATGTGTCCAGTTAGTGTTTGTCTGAAGGTTTAGATGCCATTTTCATACTACATGCATTCAACACAACAGCAGTGGCTAAAAGAATAGTAAAAACTGTGGACAACGAATGGTGGTAATCCAAGATCCCAATCAAGTGTGAAGCCTAACAGAAGAATGAGCTCGTGCAGGGGCCGCGTTCACCAAATGAAAAGAAAACACATCTGGCGTGCTCACCTTTGAGCCTTTATGGCCGGGTGTACCGGACTCTCCCTGTGAACCCTGCCGGGGTGAAGAAGAAATAGACGGGACGCTTAAAACTAGACAAGCTCATTTCGCGACATACAGACGTGACATTGATAAACGCTGTGCGCTCAATACAAACTCATCAGGAAATATCATCAACGTCCCGTACTCCTCCCGAGAGAGCGGCACCGTCAGCTTCACTGACGTGACCACCTTTTAATATGCCACAGCAAAGGAGGAAGTTTGTTTATTTGAACTCCGGCATTGGTGAAGAAGTGGTTTCACTTTTGGCAGCTGTAATAGGACGTGAAACAGATCTGTGGGTCGTCTCAGTTTAGACTGGAGCCTAAGCTACCTGCTGGCCCGGTGCCAGACGTAAACAATGGTAAACTCATTTATATTTGGTTTACTTAACGCAGACTCCAGGGAAAGCGCTGAACCTATTACGGCCTGTAATGGGTTTGCCAGCTCTCTTTGCTCGGATAGCCGACTATTTGACGGATTAAATGAGCTCTTGCTTTGGGACGTGTTCGACTTTTTCTGATTTAAGACTCTGGGAACTTCAGGGCTTGTGTGCTTAAATCAGCGTGGCCCTAGATGGCAGCAAATACCTACGACTGACATGGCTGAAAGAAACGGTCGAGAAAGAGCTGAAATCGTACGGACGGCGGAATGATCCAATTTCTTTTTCCTTCACAGAGGTCACGCCATTTGTATTTTCATTGCACACGTGTTCACTTGAGTAGCTGACCTTTGGTCCAAGGGGTCCAAGTTCTCCTCTTTCACCTTTCCCTTGTGGCCCGTGGTCGCCTCTCTCTCCCTATACAGGCAAAAAGAACAAACAGAGACGTTAGCAACCTGCAACCTGCATTTGTCACGGAGACGTGGTGATCAAGGCCAAATTCATTTCTCTTGTCCGCCCGGAACAGCTGCGATGTCTCTTCTGAAAGAACATCAGGCATGAACTTCAATTTCCTTAATGTTAGGAAGTATTGACGTGGCTGGGGAATCTATTAAAAAAAAAAGCTCCATGCCTTTCCCATGAGTTCGCTTACTCGGCAGACCTCAGGATGTTGAACGGAGATATTTATGCTGAGTCAGAATAAGCTGCGACTGGCTGGTGAAGGTGAGGCGTTATCCCAACAAATGAATTAAAAAAAAACTCTTCATGAAGCCGTCGTTGTCCTGATGGGGAAATGAGACATTAAAAGAAAAATGAAAACTCTTTGTCGTATCGTGTTTTTTTTTTCTCTCATTGTAAAGTGACTTAAACAGCCAGTAGAGGGGGGTGCGGCATAAGTCAAAGCAAATACTCTCCTTTCATTACTTATTTACTTGCCTAAAACCTGTGGGAAATCGTGGACATAAGGAAAAAACATTAGATAAAATATGTGCTACAGTGCTCCTCCTTTTCAGCTTCCTCCTGACATTTGAGGATGACAACGCAAAAGCCAATACGCCTGGATTATTGATGCACTGCAAACAGCCTGATGCTAAAGGACAAGGCGAACATTTATCGTAGTGCGACTGGATTATCACCGCTGGCTCCACAGTGTGATAATGTCACGACTCAAAGGGAGCGGCGGGGATGAGCTCGCTCTGTACATTTCCAAGTGACATTCTGAAGAAACATGGGCTCTAATCGCCCCTGAAAAAAAGTGATAATACTGGATAATGAGGCTGTACACCCAGAGGAGCTGCTGATTTCAATAACGATCACACGGGATGTGATAAGAAGCTGTCAAAGCTGAAATATGAACTATTCACTATCACATAGGGATGAACAACGTTCTTGTAATGTCACCCACCTTAGTTCCCGGGAGCCCTGGAAGTCCTGGCTCCCCCTGGGGGCCGAGGAACCCAGGCTCACCCTTCAAAAAAGAAAAAGCAGGCATCACTTATCGAGCCAGAAGGCATTGATTGCTTCCTGCACCCGCTGTCATTAACGCGCACTGAACACAATACACAAGAAGAATGGCCAAACATATTCAGAACGACAGCCATGCACCTACTGCTCAAAACCAACACAAGAGCACATTCAGGGACACATGAATCAACCACTCACACACACACACACACACACACACACACACACACACACACACACACACGCATCGGCTTATTAATTTATCCCCTGGTTTCACATCCATTAATGACTCCCTTTTATGAGCCTTAATAGACATTACGACTGACCTTGTTAGAAAGTCATCAGGGCACGAGATGTTTTCGGCTAAAACCGCCTTTCTGCCACCTATTAAGAAGCTTTCATACGTTTGCTTTTGCACTAATGAGCTTCCAATACGAGGTGTGATGGTTGATTTGATTTTAACTACATTTGATTGGGAAATAACCTAATTGCTGTACCATGTGCAACCAGAGGTGCCACCTACAATGGTTGAAGTTGGGCAATGGACACTTGCCTCTCAAACATTTAAACACCGATTGGATGAGCAGCCGAGAATGCAGCGCAGAACAAAGTGCACGCGGAGCTCAGAACCCGAGAGTGCCACGTTAGCAAGAATATTGTTAGAATCCATTAGACATTCAGGCCTCTTAAGTAAAAACAGGAGTATATACAAAGCAAAATGAAAGGACATGTTTTATAAGGGCAGCACATTACAAGCACACGAGAGGAGAAAAACAAAACTAAAACAGCTACAAGCACAATCTCACCATGCCTGTGCGAGCGTTCCTTGCATTCACGTTATATTTCAAGCTAATGATCACGAGAAGGACTTCGGTGGTTCTTTTGGCAGAAGACGGGAGCCTCTCGTTTCCCCATCTGCTGTTACTTTCAATGGAACCGTAAACAAGCACGCACTTCAACTAAAGGAAGTAAAAGGCCTTATTTGAAAAATTCTAAATAATCACATAGGACGAGCACTTTGTCGTCCCCCTAGCGCGTGGAAGTTTTGACCCATTTTGCTACGAGCTACTTGCGGGAGGCAGAATGTTGAGTTGTTGCCCGAATTGCAGTGTTCAAATAATTCATTCGTCGACGTCTACACCGCACCCAAATGGGACCTTTTTCTTCTGGCGTGTTCGGAGCAAAAGAATAGACCGTTTGGCCTTGTAGGTTTGCCTGAGCAGTTTACTTTCCACTGCACTGAGTTTACAGCTTTTACTGTGCGTCTCCCGCTAAAGGCGGATGGGAACCTGGCAAAGGTACAAATCCCACACAGCAGGAAAAGCAAGATTACGAGCCCCTAAAGTGTCGTGCATGAGGCGCGGCGACGGGTCAGCGGAGTTCTGCTCTGACCTCTGTCGTGGGTTGGATGAAGAGGATGGTAAGGGACCACACCAGTGGAATGACCTGGGGGGGGGGTAAAAACAGCAAAGCATTTACCTTTATCCCTGGGAGTCCAGGCAGCCCTGGAAGTCCTGGCTCTCCCTACACAGGAAGAGTGTGACACGTTACGGCAAAGCCAAGCTAAGCTGAGTCAAGCCTCGTTTGTGGGTTCTCTTTGGGGTTCTATTGGCTCGTCACGGTAAATTTTTTTTATTGTTTTTTTTCTCTCTCTGGTTATCGAGCTTCTGTGATTCTGGAAAAGTGTGTGTTGCCTTTCGTTCGCTTGCGGTAAGCACGAGCAGAAGGTACCGGACATGATGCACTTTCAAACCAAAGTCATGCAGCCGTGGCTTGACAGCAGGATTAGTACGTGTTATAACACTCAAGCTTTCACAAAGCGCAATTGAGTTTTACTTTCACTATTTTATCGGTTTTGGCAGGAGGGAAAAGTTATGCTTTCTGGAAGGCGAAACTGTCGAGATTCTTTGGATTAAATTAGCAGAAGCAGTTTGAGAGAAGCTGCCGTGGCTTCGAAGGTTGTGAGAGTTTGGCGGCGCTGGAAAAGCAACAGTTGGCCTCATTCTTTGCGACCAAGGTTGGGTCATTGTCAAGTCGACAACTCCAAACTCCCATTTCGTGCTCGTTTGAAAAATGCACGTTTGTTTCAACTGTGGTCAAATAAGAAGTCAAGTCCCCCCCATGAGGCGAGACTTTCAGGACGGAATGTCCGACTCAGCGCTAATTCAACGCTCCATTAAGACCATTGTGTTTCCGTCCATATGAAAAGAAATGATTAGTGCAGCTCGACAAGGATCAACTGTAACTGAAAGGGGGGACGGGGACGGGGGGCGGGGGGGGGGGGTACATTTCCATCGTGTTGAATGAAAGCACTGTTAAACGAATGATCAAATAGTCTGTTATGTGGAATGCTACTTCACCAACACTTGAATGGCATCCAACGGCAACACTAAACGTGGAACAGCTCAATCCTCTGATGGCCATTTTGAAGAGAAATATAATTCTAGTGTGTCAGTGCAAGCAGAACGGCTGTAAAATGATAGATAAGATGAAGCAGTTTAAAAATTAGTACCACAGTGCCACAAATGTTGCAGATGCACCACAGCAGAAGAAGAAATAAACACATTTGCTGAAAGCCCCTCAGTCTGGCTGGAACCAGTTTGTCCAAACAGAGAAAAGAGAAGGGGGAATTAATGGGGCGCAGCGTTTGGGATTAAAAAGTGTAATTAGACGGAGCACTGGCGCAATTCCGAATCAGTCTGGTCAGGGAACAAGTAATGGCTTTTATGTCGGAGGAAAACAGTTCCTCTTCAGCTGCATGCGTGTTTTACTAGTTTATCATCAGCAACGTTTTCTCTGAGCAATATCTTTGGAATGTGTAAAACACCAGAATAAAAACTGACGAGTCAAAGCAAAGTGGATCACCTGCTGGTTTTAGACATCCATTTTAACAGTGAGAAATGGAGCAAAAACATCAGCAAAGACCTCGTATAACCTGAGCTTATAGTATGATGCCTGGGACCTTATGCTGGCTCAAAATCAGAGCCAAAGTAAATGTAAGAGGAGTTGAAGCACTGTCATGTAATAGAATTCCAGTTGTCCTCGTGCACAACCATCCTTATTTCACTTTGAGCAGTGAGTTTGGAAAGCTCTCATACAAACTGAAGCTGCAGATTCACCTTTCACATTAAAGCTTGTGTTTCCACGATAAAGAATAAATAGGAAAAATCTCGGTCCAGATTTGTTACTGCATAGAAAATCTGTTTCCCATAGTTTATTCATTAATAAACACTATGTGATCAACAACATTTGATGGTTTGTCTTTACACTGATATGACCAAAATGTGAGCAAAGTAATTATTACCTTTAGTCCACTTCGTCCGGGCTCTCCAGGTTCCCCCTGAAATACATGCAGACTTTTCTTTTAAACTGTTTCATTTCTCGATTGGATTGGACCAACTATTTGTAAATCCATTACTAGATTTGTGGCTAACATTAACACGTTTTTAATATGCAATTTCAGTTTCAACAGCATTTTAAATCGGATACATATCCCTCTTCCTAATGGAGAATGTGAAATAGCTTTTGGCTTAGCTCAGGCCTCACCTTGATGCCTGCTGCAGAGGAGCCTGCATCACCCTAATAGAAAAATAGCAAACAATTAGAAAGGTACAACATGTGAGGTTATCGCAGGACTGAGTCGTTCTCCATGGGAACAAACAGGAACAAACATTGTGCTGACGAAAAAAATTAGGAACATATTTTGGTGAAATCCAATTAGAGACTGGAATTGTGCACCATTCTAAGCAGTGTTCAGATGTAATGTACCATTCACAAATGTTTGCCACAGCGCCGTGAATCCTTTCATTGTTTATACACACATAACAACAAGAGTGTAGCTGCATAGCGTCGATGATGTGAAGCCCCCAACTGTATAGGCGGTATGGGCCTTAAAAGCTGCAATAACAACAATCATTTGAACCCTTTTCATTGCATTTCTTCGGGTAGGTACTGAACTACAAGGGTCAAAAGAGCTACTTAAGCTACATTTTCCTTTCAGAAAAATCATCCAAACATGCAGCGGCTCCTCCATGCAACGCATTACTACTGCAGTGTACAGTAAAAACATGCATAAAACAAGGGGCCAATAAGTGTAATCACAGGCGGTTGGTGGGAAAAGGGAGCGGGAGACTGGGCCTTCAGCTCTGCCGTGGACTTTGTGGTTTCACTAAACATACGCCGTGCGCTCAGAAGTTGCTATAGGAATGCCTTTCGCCCTCAGCTTTTTATGTGAGTCATTACGATGCACAGCACACAAGGCGTGTTTAATTGTAGCATTTCTTTTTGCAGGCAATAAACGGTTAGTGTTTACAGCTGGGCTTTGTTGCATACTGAAGTATGCCTCTATTCATATCTTAAAAGTTATTATTTCAGCTTTTAAAGGGACATTTTCATATAGATCTTTTATTGAGGAGGATCTGAGATAATGTTCTTTTCCAGTTTGCTGTGGAAACCAGGTCCTCATATTATAGCATTGAAGATAAGTGAAAGGCTTTCACATGATAAAGTTAAATGTTTTTGGTCAAATACTACATGGATGTCGTGTCGCGGTTGACCCAAACATCACAATAAAACTCAAAACTCTTTACAGACCATTATTTTTTGTCCTGGTTGAGCAATTGTTTCAACAAAAGTCAGAGCTGATGGAAACATATCTAACAATCCTTCACATTTGTAATTAATTGTTACATCTCATACAAAAAACAACCTACTTTAGCTCATCAAGCTTGGGACTACTTGGGATGATTCACTTTTTTTACATTGCTAATCTTAGCAGGATGACACCGTAGAGAGACGATATTGGGTGGAATATGAATTTTTAACTCATTTGACACCATGCGATCTGTTAAGACGAGTATCGGCGGGCGCAGCACAAGCACGTAAACTGAAAAGATTATGCTAATTTCTGACAAAACAGACACAATTGACACTTGGCCCAAGCGAGTGAGAGTTTTCCCAAGTTCAATCTATTCCAAATGATGTACCAAGTGATGGAAAAAGTGGCTGAATTGGGAGGTGAGCTGAGGTGTGGCGCAGAGTGCTTAAATGTCCCACTCGGGCCAATTATCATGGCGAGGCTGCAGCCTGTGATTCACCCACATGGCACAGCGGGACGGAGAGCTGTGACCACAACTCCACTTCATTACACCGACCCAGAGCTGTCGCTGCATATTGACATTTAAAGATAATGGCGTGGAGATCTCATAATGTGCACTTGGTTAATCGGGCCATTTTCCAGCTGCGTGCCGGTGTGTGTGGGAGCCAATTAGATGGAGAGAGTTAATCGATGAGAGCGACGAAGCCGAAGCCGTTGGGACAAATGCAACCATTACGCGTCGCCACAGCCCTATAAACATGACTCCTACTCAAATTATGGTCATTGGTAAAGATGGCCAAATTTAGCGGCCTCAGCTGAATATCGACCTCGTTCCCTCAGTTAGGCTACATGCGAGTCAACGCACATTGTGAGCGGTCCCGCCGGCAGTTGACATACGGCCAGTTCAGAAGCGCTCGGACCGGATCTTAGGCCTCAGAAGTGAAACCAACCCCGGAGCCACAACCAGCCCAGAGCCAAGAGCTCAGCCGGGACGTTCCCCATAAAGAACTCAAGTTCACTTGGGTTTATTTTCTTCTGAGCCCCTCTTACACCTGACCTTTATGTCTTCTGTGTGGCAGTGTGATTATAAGCATCCTTCAACAATGTGAGGTCATCGAGCTTCATTTCAACTTGCATTAGAGCACTTCTACACTGTGCTATGACTTAAGCAAAGGATCTGAGGCATAGAAGACCAGTTTTGTCATTCAGAGAGACTCGGCGGGTAGGGAGAGATATTTCAACTTGTCATAAGGATACACATCCAGGTAACAGAACGCACATGTCCTGTCAGCTTGTCTCCTTCACAGTCTGCAGATCCCCGCCTGCCAAAACAATCTCCCTTTGTATCTTGCAAAGCCCGGTCTGATTGCTTGAACTTCCATCTCTCTCCCCCGCTCTGCACTCCCTGAGGTCCCTCTGCTCAACGTATCCAAACTGGCCCCGCCTCACCTCTCACCCGGTGTTACCGTGTGCGCGCTGTGTGTCGTTAACCTTGGCGTCATCAGCGGGGAAGACTGAAGATGCTCTCGCCCCCCCTCCTCCGGCAACCCCCTACTCTCCAGTTTTCTCTTCCGCATTTAGGCACGCAGGAGACCCTTTCTCTTTACCTGCTCATAGACATCAAACAGTCCCCGATGTACGTGACATGTGCTAAACTCGTTCAAATAGTTGATAACTTATTTGAAAACTATTTCCGACTTTTACATCCTGACCAAACACACAAAAACACTGAGAAGATGGGGTAATCTTATCCCTCGTAATGATAAAATGTTCACGTCTTTATACTACCTTGTTTCTTTTTATGGCTGAATACCGTGTGTCTGCTCCTGAAGGAATGGCAGGTGACAAGCTACAGAGGTCTGAATTCCCTTGGTACTCAATTCCACTTCTTTATTTCCCCTCCCCTGCAGCAAAAATCCATCCCTTTTTTCTTCTTACTGCGTGAGGTAGACCAGATCAAAGCAACAGAGTTTTATCGCCCTGCATTTTCCTTTTTGTTCACTCATTTTCCACCGACGGTATCCTGCATCTGTTGCAGTCTTTTTTTGGCAGCCGTGTTCAGCAGTCTTTTAAAAAACGAGAGTACTCATAAAGTGAGAAGTTATCAAAGTTGTTCTGCGCTGAACAGCAATAAATTGGCAGTGACAGTTTGAGTACACTGCTTCTAGTCCTATGCTGCTCCATCAGTTGTATTTTCTTTTTATACCTTACTCAGCATCTACAGCAAAAAAGTGAATAAAATCTTCTCAATTGTGTTATCGTTTGTGACAAACTTTGGGAGGACCCGTTTTCCTCTCCCAGCAGTGTGAGCAATTTTAGCGTGAGCTGAGTCCACATTTTCAAAGAATTGTCAATTCCAATCAAAGGTTGGGGGGTAAAAAGGCCCAAATCCTCTGAGGTTGCTCAACAGAAAGGAAACCGTGACCTATTTTGTTAAACGCCGCTTTAACAAAACAATAACTGTAATCTGCTTCAGGACGATGTCAATGCACTGAAACATGGATTGAAACCTGAATCTATTACTTTAGCGCTGAACAGTCAGCCCAACAGAGCTCCACTATGCCTTTTGTTGGAAATGGACCCTAACTAGACAAGCTGTCTTGATGATAAACGGTCCCACATTAAGGCCGGAGCCATCCGGCCAGGAAATGCAGCGTCAGCATAGCAATTAAGTCATCATTAATCCAAAAGGTTGCATGAAGTGCCAGGACGGTTGCATGTAGGCAGCCTTCACTACAGGTGATGGGACTCGACCTCAGCTTGTTCTGATGCAGCTGCTATTCTGTCTCCTCTCCAATAACTTCTTTATGTTGCAAAGCCACAGACAGAGTCTGGTATTTCTCTGTGGAGTTTCCAAGACGCAGAGAGGGTAAGTGGAATGTACATACCTTTTCCCCGATATCACCTTTCGGTCCATCTTCACCCATGTCGCCCTGTGATGAAATTTGAAAAAGGTATTCATACTCAGTACATCGATTGCAAGAAGGTGTCAATGTTGCAATAAACGACACAGCTGAGGATGGAAAATCGAATGAAAAAGATGATAAACACGATCACCAGATTCTTTAAACATACATAACACACGGGAGGACTTTTATGATTGACTGCCATGGAAATCAGTATGTATGTTGAATTCTAGTTGGTTACCAGCCAAGTCATGGTATGTGGTTTGGATGTGATTCCAGGTGACGTGATACACTTCATTGGGAGATCCTAAACTCCTGCTACTGTGCTCACACACTGAACTAAGAAGATGAACGGTATTGTACTTGCTTCTTAGCATGCAGATGTTAGCTCGGAGTGCTTGCTGATGCAAAACTCTAAACCCAGTAGATTTCACCTCGAAAACATTGTAGTTTTTAATTTGAAGTCTATGGAAAGGTCAAGGATTTCAAAACAAAAAGTTGTGTCCTTGTGGATGATAAGATACTCATGTCAGAAGTTCAAGAAAATTTGCCTCCGGACACAAGCTCTGTGCTCCTCAAACAATCAGTTTCTATTTGTTAGATGTTGGCATTGCTTTCTTGAATTGGCCTTCTGGCTCTTTAGTTGGCAACCAAAACCCCAAAAGATTATTATTCACGATTTATGTTCACATATTTGGCTCTGCTCGAAATAAAAGCTCTGATCGCAAACACGAAAGTTGGAAATAAGATATTAACATATTCTGACACTGTAATAGTTTTTGTTTTAATAACAGTAAGAGTTTTTTGTCTTTTCTACCACAAAAATTATGATTTCCCCCCCCCCCTTTTCGTGGCTGTAAAAACTCTACAAATGAATCTTTGAAAGTCTTGGAAGGGACCATTAATCTTTGGCTGGACTGCTTCCCATTGCAGACATGTGACAAGTCCAAGGGATGACACGTGACTTTACATTTTTCGCTGTACAAAAACATTGAATAATGGTACCACTGGAATTAGGGTATGGACAGAATAGGGCTATTGTGTGGTTTCTGTTTTTTTAACCCTTGTGCGAGGCCTGGAGTTCGGAGCATTCGGGTTCTGCTTTGTGACTCATTGAATCGATGACTCGCTGGTGGACGGATCTCGAGCGGGTGTCACCGTTGAAAAGAACGAGGTGGAGTTGTGTGAAGCAGAGGCCGATCTGCCGTCATGACGGCTGTTCTTACATCTCGAGACTGATGCTGACAACAATGTTTGGTGATGAATTAGCGCTTTACCTTTTCACCTCGCTCTCCCATTTCACCCTGTTGGGGAAGCAAGCACAGTATTAAATGCAGAAAAGCTCAGGGGAATGATATTTTTTGCAGTTGGGGAACTACTGCCGCCCCTCAGGGTCAGATATTATCAAGGGTTAAATTCATGAAAGATTGAGGAAATTCTTTAGTTATTTTCTTAACTTGCAAACTAAACATTTTAACAATTTAAATTGCTCTTAATATTTTTTTGGGGTTCCATCATCACAGGTATTACACACATGAATACCTGCAATTCAGGGAAGATGTTTTTTCATATATTGCAAATTAAAGATAATGGAGAAATTAGCTAACAAAGCTATATATGTATAATGTAGGTTTTCTAAATAACAACAGAAAATACATTTGGAAAAATCTGATTGTAATAAAAAAGGCATAAAACAGACAAAAAATAAAGGTAAAAAGGACGAAAAAAAGGTGAAAAGACAAAAAGAGGTTTAGAAAAAAATGACCGTCGTGAATTTAAAGAATAAGAACACACAGAATGTGTTCACACCAGACCTTGGCTCCGGGGACACCGTCCAATCCTGGGATGCCAACATCCCCCTATGGAACGCATAACATTCAATTCAATTCAATGTGCTGTCTCAGCAGTGTGAACTCTGATTTAAGGTCAGGAGATACAAAAAGCACATTTTGATCATTGAATAGAGATTATCTCACCCCATAAACTTGTGTCGCCATGGGCAGGTGTTATGCATTTGCAGGATAGTTGATGACAGAGCAGTAGATCGGATAGATACTGTATTTTACTTCAGTGTATTGGAAGGGATAAACTCCACATACTGGACAGCTACAGCCCAATAAATTACTTTAAACTCTCCAAAAGAGTACCAAAGTATAACCTACAAAAGCCGCAAACTAAATCTGAAAGTGGAGAGGATAAACTGGCTGACTGAGAGCCTAATTATCTTTGGTCTGGTTCCGAACATGAGCAGAAGACAAAAGCCAAGTCCATCTGATTAATGGCGGTTTGCTGCGGATGTCAGAGGGATCCCTGGTCCATCTGTTGCCAAAAACAATTAACCTCGGGACCTTTGCAAACCTACCACATCATCAGCCTTTAGACAGCAGCTATTTCTCAAACCAGGGACACAACTTTGACTGGATGACGCTGATTATTGTAGCCAGAACGGGAAATCCGTCATTTAAATCAAAATACATGTCAATAGACTTCAATACTGGCCATATTGTCAGGAATATTGGGTTATTGAATGCAGTTTTATTTAATTTAGGTAACAGACCGTGCTCGTTTAACCTTTGCAGTGTCTTACTGTTTTAATTCCCCCCCACAATAGGTTGTTTTCATGAAGCATTGTGTATTATCCGCGTATAGGCAGCATCCTCTCAGCTACACACTAACGGTGAAATTATGAATTCTGGAATCAGGTGTCATCTATCATGACAAAATCTGATGAAAAACTCCTAAACTGCATCTGATAAGGTTTGCATTAGTAAACATCCCCTTTTGGTGGATATCTTGTCAGAACGACATGATGTCCGCCAGTCAACCTGCCACTGCTGTCAGAGCAGCAGTTTCTGCTTTAGACTTCAACTTTCTGCATCAGTGATGGTTACATACGACAACAGATCCTCCTTTATAACTGCATTGCACAGCACTGGGGTTCTATTTCATGCTGGCAAACCAGACTCCTTACACAAGTATGGAATTATGCCTTCAGCTTTTGCTGTCTCCATAGTGAGTATGGCTTCCACTCTGGTTTCTATTAGAGCCATGCGTGCCTCTCTGCTCATATCTTTAGAAATGCGTGCTCGAGATTTTGGAAGATGACGCCTCTCTAATCATCTCCCCATTCACTCTTGTTTGTTCTGGGATAAACAGGCTTTCCCATTTTCCCCCCATCGTAAAACACCTGCAAAGTGTCTTCTATATTTAATTATAGAATGAAATGCACAAATGAGCTGAAAGTGTGAGCAGATTCACAGGCAGCCGCACTCTGTGGTTAAGACTTGAGGAGGCAGCCCACAGGGATTTCTCCCAAATAGGATAGCGGTTTGAAATTGCCAGAATGCGTGGCAGAACTTCTTTTATATAAAAAGTGCAACACAAGCTGGTAAGGGACTGATGACAAAAGTATTTTTTTAAAGTATGTTAAAAGAAGTGGAGTGGAGGTGTGGATGAAAGTCAGCTTTCTTTTAAATGTGTATATTTTGTGTATTATAGTGTTCAGGGTTCATTTGGTAGCGCTGTTACCTGTGAGTGGACCTCTTCAATAATGAAAAGGGAATGGACGTCATGTTTCATATGCAAATCCTCCTACATCTAGTTTAACTGAGATAAAACAATTTTTAAAACTAATAGTGTGTATGTATGTATGTATATGGAACACAATCATCAAGTGTATTGTTTGCATAATAAGAATGACCTCACCTTCAGTCCATCAACGCCGGGGTTGCCGGGAGGCCCGAGTACACCCTAAAAATAACATACAAAGGCCTTCAGGGGTTTCATTGTAATCAACAATCACACTGTATTTTGCCGGCAAAGATAGCGGACATTTCAAAGTTTTGGTTATCAAACATTACACTATACGAATGGTAACGTCCCGTAGCCATTAAAAAGAGCAGTCACTAACAAAAACATACCACTATACCATCAAACGCTGACACACGTTCAAAGCAGACCTGTCTTTCGTTCCCACACCGCCTTTAGCGTGTGCTGATCTTACAAAAACCTGGCCCGAATCAATATTGCATGTCATATTTTAAAATGTTATGCATGTCACAGACAGAGGGCGAGGCTGACTCTGTCTGCTTATGTTGGCTCTGCGTTTCTTCGTAAGAAATACGAGTTTCTGTTGCCATGGTCACATTTATACATGTTATCAGAGATCTGTGAAACTGAAATGTGGACTTTTTTGTATCACTTTTTAAACTGTACATCCCGAATATAACACGGATCACATTATGGTGTGAAAGCAGATCAAATATATTACTACTAATTCATTAATAATATCAAATACACTATTCACACCACGTCATATCACGCTGTGCCACCAGATCAATCAGCAAGGTGATGAAACTTAAGGAGCCGTTGACCCGGCACCTCTGCTAAACACTACACAAAGCAGCAGATCCGACCGAGTGGCCTGCGGGCCTGGCTTGCGAGTCGTTAACACGGCGGTGTGTCATCGTTGACCCCTCCGCACGCCCCCTCCTACGCCGACGGGAGACCTTGCCGACAGATGACAGCGCAGACAGGAAGTGTCTGATTGGGTTACACTGAACAAACACTGGCAGCTACCTGACGGCTGGATATGGCTTACATCTGTTCCCCACATCAGTGCCGCCGGGGACCCAGGACCTGTATCACAGCGCCGGGCTGCGGGGTTCTCTGTTCTCTGTCTCCCTCCTGGTGTTGTTCAAGCCTTAACTCTCCTCTGGTCCATTTATTTGCCCCAACTGTGGCCCTGCATCACTAATCTCCAAGTAAACGTTTCAACACCCAGCGTGTGTTTTTACAGGCATTCGTGCAACTTTTCCAAAGTTACAATCACTTACTGAACATTCAAACCGTCAAAGAAATCCTGCTTTGGTTCACATTAGAATGTCAACCTTTTCACTGTGGAACCTATTTTCATGTCATGCAGAGGATCACAAATTTGATCCAAATAAAAAGAAAACTTGTGAATGTCTAGACGTACCTTCTCCCCTTGTGGCCCTTCAAGTCCCTGTAAGTGCAAAGTGAGACAGAGACAGAGAGGAGAAACAGAACCAAAAAAGTCAATTTCTGGTTAAAAATAATGATTTACACAGCCAACACGGTCACAGAGAGAGACTAGCAAGGCATCTGGTAGGATTCCATACAGTGAGCACACACCCTTCGCTCGTAACCGAATCACAATTGATCCCTTGTTTTACTCTCCGACGAAGACTGAAACTCACCCTGTGCCTTTTTTTTTTTCCATTGAGTTTCACCGTTAACATGAATCTCTAATAAGACCGTGAATAACCAGATCGTTTACGGTTTTATCTTGCATGTAGATGTCTTTCTTTATTCATTTTAGCGACTGTAAAAACTTGTTTGGCTGTCGCGCACATTTCGAGCATACGGTCCAACACAGAGAGGAGACATTACCTCAATGGGCCAATAGCTGGAAAGCCTCACAAAGCTCAGAAGTTAAACAGGGCAAAGCAGGGCTCCCACATCCCTAACTGAGATTTACCCCGGTGATAGATGTGTCTGGGAGGACCGTTTCGATTTCCAACCTGCTGCTCACCCCTGTGAAACCGGAGGTCATGTTGGACCCTCAACCTCCTGTCCGCGAGGCTGCTTTATGACCTAAATGAGAAAGCAGGCTGAAAGCTGCTCTCTTCCATTTTGCCTTCAAAAGCCTATGAGAACTATTGCAATACCAACGGCAGTTCATCAACACCGTCACGCCCGCCTGTTATGACACTTCATGTTGGCCAGGATTTTCCTCCCTGTCGGCTTTGGATCTACAGCGAACGGTGTTATTTTGGCTCGTCGCTCTCGGTTGAGTCGAGGCCAAGCAGCCCTTCTACCCCGCAGCCTCTCTACAACAGAGTTGTCGCATGATTTATGTTGATGCAGTCTAATGGGCAAATTCAGAGATGTGTTTCCCTAATGAAAGTAGCAGAGGAGGACGCATTCAGTTTGACTGTTGGTGCATGATTTTTTGGAGAAAACGCTTAGGTTGGCAATGGCCAAAGCATGCCTTTCAAATAGCACCAACAGATGTTTCGCTATAGCAAAAAGGAACATAAAAACGGCTAATTTTCTGACAATAAACGGTTTGTTCGACCTCTTGTTTTGTTTTTGGTAACGAAACAAGGTGATCACCAAGCAACTGAAGCCCTAAACGTTCCCATTCTCAATTTCCATTTCAAGTTCTCACATTTAGAGCAACGGCCCACAAAGTTGCAGCTCAATAATAGTGCATTCCATCTGCACGAAAACCTCAATGAACAACTTTCATTATCCCAGTCAACAGAGAAAGAGTTTTTCCCCCCGCTTGCCTTTAAAAGCCTTTGTTGGCTGTCCACAGTAGGGTTTTGTAAACATCTTTATGACCCACCAGGTATGTGAGAGCATGTGCCACTCGCCTGAGCGCTAATTAGCTTTGCTACATCTGAGAGCACTCAGGAGCTACTGGCTGAAAAGGGGATTTCTCACAAAGTCAAGGGCCCTTGAGGAGTCTTGGTCCAGGCCCTTTTGTTCTCAACTTTTGGGCCCTAGAAAATTTAAATGAAGCATAATCCAAATATTTTCATTCATAAAACACACTTTTCTCAACTAAAAGGTATCCCTCATGATAGTATGCTCCGCATACAGCACCTCAGATATCCAATTTGCATGCATTAAGGAAAAGAACGTGCAATATCAACAGGACGCCTATTTAAGTCGAGCATCCGAGCACAAAAACAAAGCGCAGAATGTTCGGTGCTTCCATTCATGACTCGGAAATGACAAACAATGAGGCACTTGGCGGGTCGCTTCCCACACTGGGACTGCAGTTGAACCCTCAGCTGCTTGAAGATCTGTCAGAGTACGCATTTCTCAGCTCAGCGTCCACGGTGAAACCATTGAGGCGAATCAAAGCACAGAGAGCCTTAATGATTTATCTTTCTGTCAAAGCCTCTTTTTCAGTGAGAGTATTGGGAACGCTTTGCAGCATAGCAGTTATTTATGATAACGTAAGGAACTCTCAGTTTCAAAAGGAAAAATATTTTTTGACTACCTTATTGCCGTGTTACGGTTGGTCAAAGTAGCCAAACATTGTGCTCACCACCATCAGTGTAGAGATAGTGGACATGGGTGCTTTGTTTATACTCTGTACATGACTTTACATTTTCTCTTTACCGTTACTAAGGACCAAAACAACCGCTATGCAGCGAGAATGTGGCGTATCGACCAACCAATCAACCAAGATGTACCTAAGAAGTGGCTCTGAAATGCATTTTATCACCTTTATCTCTCATTAGATTCCAGTTTACAAGGGAGAGTGTGTCTATTTTATCCAAAATGATAGGGTTGACTACTGTATTATGCTTTTCTTTATGGGTTGCAGCTGCCGTTAAGGTCTCTGTGGTCTTTTCCTGGATAATACATCTGGGAATTTGATTAATTACATTTTATTTTTATTTTTCAAAGCTGATTCTGATATATTTGAGACTAAATACTGACTAGACTATGTATTCAATTTAATTAAGATAGAGTATTTCCCAGTAGTCATATACTTGGCACTCTAGTAATTTGCTCTATCAAAATAAATGTCTGGCCAATAGACCAAAGACCAAAAATACAATAGAGAAAAGCAAAATAAATAACTGACGAGAATGAAAGCAGATTTAGAATAAGATAGAAAATCCATTAAGAACAAAGAGATTTCTTCTCAAGCACGAAGGTTTTTGCCAATTGCTCGTCCTAAGCCATTTGCTCACATTTTTGCTCCTCATGTTTGGCTTAACATTAAAAAGAAACGCAGTCAAGGACACCAAAATATCACAGGTACGCCTTCATTATGCATTATTTCGTCACTGGTATATGTTGGGTATAGTTATCAAAGGAAAAAGATGTCAAAGAGGAGCAGCAGAATTAAATGTTTTTTTTAAATTTATTTATATTTTATTTCCTTGTGACCACATTGAAACACACAATGCGTTGTGTGAAAACAGCGTGCAGCGTTTAGAGAGATGAAGACCCCATAATTTAGTCCAGAGAGACCTTATGGAACTGATGGTTTTGAATCGAGTCCTGAAAATATTTCCCTTTTCCTGCTCCTACCTCCCCCCCCCTCCTCATTGTTGCTCCACAAGGGCTTAATCCTTCTAACCAGCACCATATGTCCTGGAAGGCTGCAGGAAAACTCTGGAATCTACTTTTGCCTCCTTAACAATAGCATATACATCAAAAACTCTGAGCTGTGTCAAGTGGGAAAAGCTCCTAGAGGACTATATAAAAGCTAAAGCTGGTGAAGGACCAACCTCCTACCTCCAGTTGACTTGTGCAGAGCTGAAAGGGCCGATCAAAGACTTGTGTTTAAGCTTGCCGGACAAACTGGAGCCTATTGGTTTAGTTCACATTATATTTTAAGGCCGATCAAGGGTGTGGACCTGGGTTTTGCTTCTGGATGGACAATTTCCTTTTATTCCATCTCAAGAGGTTTAACAAACCGTATTTTCATTTACAGAAACACATCTCTCGAATCCGTTATCTTATCACAGCAAAACAAAATGCTGCCGAGCGGAAGCAGAAGCTAGGAAACTCCACCTTGTTTAGTACTAATAATGTGCCTTATTTGAAGATGCACAGTGAGCGGCAAATACATTTTTATTCAAAGCTCTGTGCGACGACTCTGAGCTCATTCTGAATGGGATTCGGCATTCATCTTTTGGAGAAATCCTTCATCTGCTATTGTGAGAGCTTGTATAAGCACTGCAGACGTACGGGAGCCCACCTGGGAAATCTGCTGCACGTTCGACATTTATGACACTAAAAAAACATGCTGTTTACACAGCGATGAGCACATGGGGGGGATAATGGGTAAAATGTACAATTAAAGCCAACAAAAGCAAAAAAAGCGGGTAAGGAGTGAAGAACGATTAGCATTTTCACTCCTCTACTGTTAATGAGTCTGTCAAGCCACTTAAGCTTCAGCCTTCATTTTCTCTGCCGATTTATTCCAAATACATCAACTTTTTCCACACCAGTGAAAGGGTCAGAGATGGAATCAGAGATGAAAGCGCTTGATAACACCCCCTCTGTCAGCTTTACTTACTCTCCCCTGGAGTTGAGAAAACTGACATCACCAAGACTTTTCAAAATCACGTTTTCCGTCGTTGCTTTCTCTGGAATTTGGCTTGACCTATTCAACATAGCTTTTAAACTAAACAAAAGCTTTATTTGCTGAACACCGCAAGTGGTATCCAGTTGCTGGAACAGCCTGGCCCTACTGTATAAGGAGCTTTTATTCAAGAAAAGAAAGACTTTTGCAGAGTATCATATGATGTGTCACTTTTATTCACCATATTACCCCAAAATCTTCTAGATTAAATGCACTTATCAAAAACAAGGGCACAAACCTTTTAAATGCAAAATCCAAATATATTTTTCATAACGTCACAGTGGATTTGTTTGCCAATTACACAGGTCCAGCAAAAATATTTTATTTTTAGGAATTTAGGAAGCGTAACAAAGGCACTACAAATACCCCAGCAGAAAAATAGGTTAATTATTGGTCAACTTAATAACCTTAACATGATACGAGACATTTTGGAAAGCTTTGGTATCACTGGATCCTTCTTGAACTCAATTTCATACAAAGCTCAGGTTATTCATCATGAAAAGAGTACAACACGTTTAGTCAATAGGGTTCAAATGAAGCTACCTCCAAAAGAGTGGGAAACCGTAAAGTTGGTTCTGGTCAAAAGTAACTTGAATCTGCCTACTGGCTTCTCTAAAGCTCTCTACTTAACACACGTTATTTGTTTCATCCAGACAAAAGCTGAATTATAAAAAAAACACTAAGAAGTAAACAGTTTTGGCTTACCATGAGTCCTGTTTCTCCAGGCTGCCCTGGATCTCCCTATATCAATACAAAACAGACAATTAATGCAAGAGCAGTGGGCCAAGTCTCCTTTGAGAAGTTGGGAACACGCATAAAACCATAAACAGTCAAGTTTTACGGTGAGGTTTACGGTATTTCCATAATACACTCGAGTTCCACCGTTTCTTTTATTGTTTTAACAGTTGCTGGGGTGAAAGGGGTCCGGGTTGCCAAGTGGATCTCAGCATTGTTCTGCTCATTTCCCGAGTTGGCTGTGAGGCATCTCCTGAAGCTGTGGCACCTGTGGCCTTCACCGTCTCGGTCCAAATGCCTGGTTCTAGTCTCTGCTTTTGGTTCAGGCCTGGTTCGTGGATGTTACTGATGTTTTTAGTCAACAAAAGAGACTATTATGCCGTGGCCCCATTTCTAAGCAAAAGCCCCACTGTTTTGCTCTTTGTGACTTTTAAAATGACAATATTTGTTATCCTCATTTCATGGCACTCTTGGTAGGAGAAATAAATCATGCGAGAAGTGAAGCAGCCCGACAAGTACATTTTAGAAGAGCTCTTGGAAAAACCCAACGACTATTGCAACTGGAAGAACTGATCCGCAAAGACTTGGAAAGAATCAGATAAACAACACTTAATATTTTTGCACTCCCACTGTGAACTCGGCCAAGACAATAAAGATCAGCTGGAGCCTTTGGAAGGGTTTATGGCTGAAAATAATTGACAGGCCTTTTCTGTTTCTTCTTCCTCTCACAGACGCAGATCACGTAAACTAATGTGATGCCACGCACGGGCTTAAAGACATGGAAAACATTATGTTATAATGAAAAACAACCAAGTAAATGTAAATCCATACAGTGAAACACTCTTTGGGGAGCATGCTCATGTTTATCTCGACACATCAGGGCAATGAACTGCGTTGCAGTTTGTCAAGTCTTTATTAGAAAGCTTTTCATGGTGCTTGTCACAGTCAAATTGAGTTAAGAGTACATAAAGACACAGACTAGTTTTACCAAAAGAAACGATGCGGAGAAAATCCATAGATTTTTACCAACCCAATGCCATTTTATTCACAGGCTGGCTGCATTTTTCAGGTTATTCAAACTTATTTACATGTCGGGTAGAAATCCATACTCACTGCCAGACCGGGTACACCTCTGGGTCCATCCTTCCCCGTGTCCCCTGGAGGCCCCCTCGGCCCAGGAGGCCCCGGTGGCCCAGGTGGCCCAGGTGGTCCAGCTTGCCCTTGATCTCCCTGTGCGGTAAAAAAAGAAAAATTAAACATTGGTGTTCCGTGATATGGTTGGATCCACCGAGACTGGAGCCACTGCAGTTAAATGATAATGAAGAGAGTAGTGGTAATAATCTCGTGGGAGGCTACGGGCTGCCTCCATAACATAACATAGAGAGTTTGCATTTCTGCTCTTATGGCTTAAAACCAGCAGACAAGACGGAGCTGAATCTGATTTACAGCTGGAACAGTAATCCCCTAAAAGCTATGCATTCCCAAATGGACTTAATGAGTTGAATAGGAGTTGTGCATTTAGGCACCAAAAAGAAATTGTGGCCTTACAATAATATGAGGGGGGGGGGGACACTGAAAATATGTTGTCCTTTATTCTACTGGATGATACAAAAGAAAAGAAGAAAACCATCAACAATTCCACTTGTAAGGAGTAGTGCCCAGACAATAATTCATTTTTTTTTAAAGATTTCAATATGTTGATTTAACAAAAACAGAAGGAGTAGAAAAGAATACTTATGACAGGTCTTCCTGAAGGTTCGCATGCAAACTGCAGAATGCCCAGAGAGAAGTGACTCGGCACGAGAGAGAGAGAGAGGAGAGAGGACACAGCCACTACCTTAATGAGCCGTCGCTTTATGAGCTGCTGGTCAGCGGAAAGAAAGCCATGATTGATCTTAGGGAAGACCATCTGAGCAGGTGTGTGAGGTCAAGAGGTCGCAGGTCAGAGATGAGATAAGGTCGAAGAAGGATGAGGTCCCAGAAGGAGGAGGAGGAGGAGGAGGAGGAAGGCAAATGCAAAAAGAAACAGATTTTGTTAGAAAGGCCTACGTTCATGAACGCCGGTCGAGCGCCTTTACAGATGGTTGGGAGAAATCCACACTTTCCCAGCACAGAGGTGGTTTGCTTCCAAAGTCTGGCCTTTTTTTAAACCTGGAGCCAGGACACATAATTACCACCTGTGGGGTGCGAGGGCGCCACAGTGGGCTCGCAGACCCTGGAAAAATGGGAATTTCTCCTCCTCTGGCAAAGCGCTGTCATCATCTCCGTTGCGCCTGCTGCTAAGTCAGACCCCGGGAGCTGCACACACTGAAAAGCAGCCCGGCTTCCGAGTTAAGGGCACATACATTATACTCCTTGTGTCCATTGGCATTAAGTGGCTTCATCCATCGCTGAAAGAACCCCAAATCCCAAATGCCAAATTGGTGGCTTTGAAGGATTTGCGGCAAAACCAAGGGCATGAGCTTTAAAAAAACATTTTGCCACTCAGATTCATCATCGAGTATTCCTCTCGGACTTCCTTCCATTTATTTTAACATCAATGGACACGCGCCAGACCACATCTTCTTGTTCCAGTCCGCTACATTTTTATTGGTTGTAAAAGGCCACCTTTGCTTTAAATAGGGAACCTTGCATTAGGAATGGAACAGAGATCTTCAGTGGCTGACGGGCAGTGGTGGAAGAGGATAAGGATTGACTGGATGGGATTTATTAGATGGGGCTTTTGCTGGGCCTAATCTATGGTCAGGCTATGAGACACAGTAGCCGTCAGTGATTTATTTACTCCTAGTGAGGGCTGCAGAGGGGTCGGACCGAGCAGCTAGGCGGCATCACCACCGACAAACCTTGACAGTCAGGATCTGATTGCTGTGCAAAGCAGCCAGCGAAGGGAGACCAGGCAATCCCTAAAAGGGACAAACAGCAAAACAGGGCACAACACACGCATGACACTCAAACATTGGGTGGACATAAACAGTAGAAGCAGCAAGAAGATGCATCCTACTTCAAAATATTCTCCCAAACTTGTGAAACAATCTGTATGATATGTGAAATACTTGTTTTTACAAACACGTCTTCCACGTTTTTTTCTTAAAATTCAACTGTCAAACATTTGGTTTGTGGACCAGACCTTTCAATTTAACCCAAACAAGACCATCATTTCATTTTAAACATCCAACATTTAAAGAAGTCCAAGTTTAGGGAATGTAGAATGCGTGATAAGTTGTCATTGTGAACGCATCCATTTCCTTTTTATCTTCTTCCAAATATACAAACAAAACATTTGGCCAGGATCATCTTAGAACAGGATAAAATTGACGAGCTGTATTGTTCGCGGGGTTTTGGGAAACATCCAGGGACTGAGATGTTCACAGGCAAATCCATCAAATGGTTTCCAATTCCTTGGTCAACAACAGTCATGACAGATGAGAACCAATCACCCTGATGCAGATTTTTCTTGTTAAGAAGTGACAATGTATAGCTTGGTGCTAACTTTAATCTGAATCCAGAAACAAATACTTGGTTTCATTTTAATGATTCATTATTTACGGGTATTTTGGCCACACGTGACATATAGATTCTAATTTAAATCACTGCCGTGCAAGAGTACCACGGCCTTTTTATAGTAACACATGTTTTAAAAATATGTTGCTGTATTGATGTCCACTGCAACACAAATTGACCACTGCAACTCCTCTCCCACGAAAAGCGCTTCTCAAGTCAAAGCCTATAATGCATAACTACGCATTGCAGTGCGGTTTTCCAAAAAAGCTGAGGTGGTGTTGACGGTTCTGATTTGAGTCGTTTTATTTACAGAGTTTAAATGTTTGACTATTTTTTTTGTCTTTACAAAACTAACAACACAAGAGAGACATTTTTTCTTGACAAATTACTGTGCAGAAATTACTTGACAACTAACGCTTGCATGTATATGTTTTTACCTTTAATACCTAGTCAGAACACGTCAAGATTTCACCCCAATGGTTGTACATTGATTGCATACTCTTGTTGATGTTTATGCAGGGGTTTGGGTATAGGTTTCATTTCACTATAAATGACCAACCAGGATGAATAGTATTTCTCAAAGACTGGCAGACTAGCATAAACACGCTCTGTAAAAGATCAATCTCCTGCCATATTCAAGTGTAAGATAAAATCTGGCCTATCCAAACATGGCTTTTGGACCATCCCTCTGGTTTTCCAAAGACAATTTATTTTAGCCCTCTAGCAGATTAAAGCGATATTCTTACACTGGACACAATGGCCGTGCTGCGTGTAACGGAAATTGAAGCGCAAATATTTCACACGTTATTTACAGCTTCAAATATTTTGAGGAAAAAGAAAGAAAACAAGAATAGGGATTTTGGTCAGGGGGTTGGCCCTTCAATACCAATGGCCTGGGAGGCCACTAAAGAGAAGCAATCAAACTGACTAATGTGTGTTTGAAATGCGTAATGAAATAAACACATATTCATCGTACCAAAACACGTAGTTTGACCCTTTTTGAGCAGAAGATGAAAGTAAAGCGGAGAAAAGTGTGTGTTAGCGCTCACTCCGCATTGCCTCTGCGCTGATGTCCGTGTGTGAGAACGATAATGACATGGCGGTTGACAGAGAATCTTAACCATTAGCAGATTGCTTTGTTTTGCTTCTCTCCTCGAAAGCGGATGTTGGTTATTTGGTGAGGAGCTCGATTGCAATGTATGTGCCTGAAGCGAGAAGACTGCAACTGCAGTAAACAAAAAGACAGATATGAGGACAATCGGCAACATGTGTCAGAGGACACTGGCCAGATCCCCACGACCACACCAAATAGGCTAAAAATCCCAACCAAATGCGGGCTGAGGCATCTTCAGAATATCTATATGTGGTGCAGATTGGCAGTTCTGTACACAGATGGCTTTAATTCATTTAGGAGGGGAGGGAGACATTCGTACGAAGCCTCAGATTTGGCATTGCTTTTAAGGACTCCTATTTATGTGTAAACAGTCACACTGTAAAACATCTTGTTCATGCCTGAAAAGTCTATTTTGGAAGAACAATGAACGCTTCCTCTGGCTGACCCAGGAACACCTGTAGCTTGAGCCATCCCTCACACAAAGACCACACACCTTTCTCGGTTGACACACAGAGCCAGTTAATTATATCCCACTGGGGAAGCTCCAATGGTGGCCACGCATTGTTTGTCAGAACTGGCCCATTTATTGTTTGTTGTTTGTTTAACCTTTGGTGTTTGGACGCAGCCTTTGACTTTTAGGGCCGACAAATGGCCGAACTCGACATGTGGAGAACAGGCAGATGAGGTATGTGTCTATGAGGACCAGTGGCAATTCTCACACTATACTCGGCCACGGAGGCAAACGTAGACATAGATATATATAAGCTTTCAAAAAAACAAGAGGTCGGTCCCTTGCATTATATCATCTTTAAATTTGTTAGATATAATGTTAACAAGACAGCTGAGGTGCAGGGGACATATTCTTGACATGCCCTAGTGTTTACATCTGCCTCCATATGGGAATAATCGCCTCTCTACACACAGTCAGTAGCGGGCAGGAAGTTTATTTTCCAGCCGGATGGAGTCAAGATCAGTCACCAGTTGTACCGCTATGTCTCCATTTATTAAGGAAATCTTTCGAATACTGTTCTACTACATTTACCTACTTATCTGATAGACAAAGTCAATATCCCCTTCTGGGGAGGTAATGTCATTTGTCGGTGACCTAGACTATTTTTGTGACCTTTTTGTTTTTGATATGTGACTGTGTGTATTAATTTGTACCTACTATGGGACAGTTTTTGCTGTATTTGGAAGTTAATGAAATGCTGTCTTGAAGTGGACAGTTTATGTATTTACTCTACAAGACAAATAGGGCCTGGCTGGTCCCTGTTACAACTCTATCAGCCACAACGCTGTTGCAAAATTGTAAATCACTTCCCTGATAGAGACAGATGACTCCATTTCCTAGGTCACAAGGCTACAAATTATGACCGAAACCCAAGAAATTCTATCCAAGCAGCTATTGTTCATTGTTTATTCAATTCAGCAGATATTTTCTTTCTGCCCATTCCCAGCGATTATATCTTCGTAACTACTGACTTTTCATATCATTAAATATTAAATAAAGTTGTCACCAGGCTGAAAATGTACTTGTAGCTTGCATTAAAGTGCCAAACCACTCAAATATCCAAAACCTCTGTGAACTTGGCTGTTGTTTGAGTGTCCCAGACGTATTGCTTTGGGACCATTGATCGAATTTCACGGAGAAGGTCATTGGTATTGACTTCCAAATCAGAAGAATTGCCCTGCTTTGGCATGCAGAACTGGCCTGGAGGTGAACTGACAAAGATAATTGGCAAACTGCTAACGTCTGTTTGGGCGCCAACACAGAATTGGGATTAGATCCACTTGGGAGACGCCTGGTGTTCTGGTGACAAGACAATCCACTGTTTTGTTGTGCTCTCTTGTCCTTGTGTTCCAACATGTGTGCAATCTTTTTCCTCTTAGGGAAATCAATTACAGGCATTTAAAGTAACTGACTCCATACCATCTACTCTTGATGACAGCATAGTTAAAAAGGTATGCGTATGCACATGTGAACCCCGGTAAATGCAATCTACTTTAAACAAACCTGTGCAGTCGCATTCTGCTTTTCAAAAAGGAGGCCTCGTCTTTTAACCATTATTTGAGATAAATACGGGCACGCTTAGTGCTAGTTGGAGATGGAGTAATTCATTTCAGAGTCATTCACGCACGGAAAAGCACTCACATCATCATCATTTAGAAGCTGCCCTTTTATAGAAATGTCAAACTAAAGAGCTGGAGATGATCAAAGCTCTGAATACGTCGTCTCACGTCAAGGGATTGAAGTGAATCACGAGTAATTATCGAGACGGAGCTAGTTGGCTTTTGATTATAGCCGATAGTGAGCAGATCTCTTCTGCTGATGGAAAAAGCCTTGTACTCAAGTTCAGTTTGAGAACGGGAGGTAAAGAGAAGGTCTTTACGTCTCAACAGGAAAAGCCACCAAAGGTATCGGGCACATGTTTAAGGCCATGCTTGATGAATAAATGAGCTGTGCAGAAATGCTTGTTGTGTTTGGCCAGATGGGAAGAACACTATCCCAGGAATTTCATGCATCTCAAAACTTTTTGCCCACAATTCTGCTGGGGGAGACACACACACACACACACAGTCACATTCATCAGCTTATCACAAGAAAGAGTAAACCACATACCCGTGGTCCCTGGTCGCCTTGATCCCCCTGCAAAAGGAAAGAAAAATAATTTCAATATAGCCCTTAAAAATGCGAGGGTCAAACACAGTGAACAAACACACAGTACAATGCTAATAATAAACTGAGACTCACACTGAAATCACCCAGGCATAATTTAGACCACATTGATAAAGAAAATAATGAATAGTTGGGGGTTCCCCAACTATTCATTGTGGTTGAGAATAAAATCACTTATGATAACATGGATTGACATGGATTGGGTACGAGAGAGAGAGAGAGAGAGAGAGAGAGCAAGACGGCAGTGGTGTGAGGTTTGGTGGGTTTGGTGAGGAGGGCCTTAGTGTGGGCGGATTGCATTGCCAGGCCATATTTTATGCCCCAGAGAATTCTGGATTTGTGCCTCCACCAGCGGGGGGGTAGATCTGGATGGAGCACGTTACTGAAGAAGAAAATGTTTGGCTTTTGAATCAACCTGCAGGGTAAAGCCTGTGGGTTTATCACATTAGAGTTTAATCGAAACCAAAAGCACACTTTTGTTACAAACAAGCGAAGCCAAAAGACCAAAATGTTGGACGCTAAATTATAGCCATCATCCATCTACAATAGTTGAATTTAACACCATCCCATTTACTATCCACTCGGACAGAAATTTTCCTCAAACAAGCTTCAAAGCAGTGGCCTCAGCATTTTCTAGGATACCTCTATATAAAGTAGTACTCACCTTTTCACCCTTGGCACCTTCAGGGCCCTACAAAAATAAAAGCAACCATGATCAAACTTTTTACAAGCCATAAAGAGGAAGAAAATGAGAATTTATGATCCATGTCAGTTATTTGTAATCACTCTGGTGCCGTGGCACATTGTGGTAAGACCCAATAGACTACATTGTCGGTGAAACAGTCGGGTTTTCCAGCAAACGAGGGAGAACGCGACACCAAAAGATTAACAAATGTAGTTTTGATGAAACTACCACGGTTTACCTTTTTACATCTCCTTTAGCATTAGATTCAAATGCCCTGTCACAAGACTGGGAACCGTTACCTTATGCAGTATGTAGACGGCGGGGCTTATACAAGTATACAATTAAAACCAAAAACAGGCCAAAATCAAGTCCATGTTTACTTAGAGGATCAAATCCAACAATCTCCAACCAAGTATTGGCAAGCACACATGAAAAATGTGCCCTGAACACAGCAGTTTCTGCAAGGGAGGTTTTGCATCCAACTTTTGCAATCAGGGCTCCTGGGTGGGCTCAGTAAACGATTATCACTGAAGTAGAGGATTTGACGATGAGGTGTGGATCCATGGGCTGGAGAATAACGAGCTAGTGCTCAAAACGCTATTTTTAATATTCCAGTTGACGGATGAAGCACAGTATGTAGGGCTCCCTTTCTTCCTCTGAGGTCAACATTTTGGAATAAGCTAGAATTGGAAAAATCAGTTTTGGATCAGTGTCAGCACAGCAGAGTGACTAACTGCTCACCGTGCCATTCGTTTCCCACCAAAAGCAATTCGTCAAATACATTTGACATTCACATGAAAGTCAGTTACTTTAAAGTAGAAAAAGGCAGATAAAGTTAATATTTGGGAGCAGAACTGAACCTTCCTCAACTATTTCCGAGGTTTGGGCAAATGTGAATCTCTAAAGAATATCCTGCATGTCCTCAGCTAAAAAGAACAAGTTGTTCAGTTGTCACCAATACAACTACGGTAATAGCTCTGCGGTGGCTATACTTTTCCAAGCTAATACCAGTCAAACGTGGTTTGCTTCCAAAGACATCAGACTCAAAGAGAAAAGGTCTTCTGACACTAATCCATAGATTGATGCCATTAGTGGAAGACCTCAGTTCGGTCCAAAGACTCACAGGAACAGCCTGCAGTGACCCGGAGCAGCAGACTTGCGTACACACACACAGACAGGCTTCCACAGCACTGGCATAAAATTGCACGGTTGAAAACTGAAATGCTCCAGTGGTAGTCCAGCAGTTTTCTTCAGCCAATTTCCCACACTGCTCTGTGGGAAGTGAGATATAGCATGCTCGGTGCATTTGGGACAGGGTTTTTTTTAATGCACAGTTTACTGTCCACCAGGCCCTATTTACCTTTGGTCATGCGATGTGAACCCGTACAGCAAGCTTGTGTAGCGCGTCGTCCCTTTTACTCAAATGTGAGGTATTCAATTCAACAATGGCAGTATACTGGTCTGGCTACACAAAAGAGCCACATTTGCTCATACAAAACGAGTCAATATGAAAACAATGTTCCCGATTTGGGTTCCCATGGGGGGGGGGAATAACGGGCAACAAATTGGAATCAAATGTGAATTTTACTTTTACAATGATGTAGATGCCGTCCAGAGAGGCCAAGTGCGTTTCCAGCATGTTCCTGAAAATGGAAGGCAGTGAAAGAAAAAGAGTGCAAGCTTTTTGTTGAAGAGGAAAATTGCCTTTGGACAATAGACCATTCACAAACTGTTGCTGCAAACATATGAACATGTGTAACAAAGATATACATAAATATAACCACATTTTGCGCAACTCTGCTTAATGTTAAATATCTGACACTGAAAATACACAGAGCCACAAAAGCACAGGGATAAAAGACTGTGTTAGTTTGTGGAAAGGGATTAATACTCGGCTTTACATGATTTAGCATTGCAATAGATAGATTGTTATTACAGCAACGTAGTGAAACTTCAAAATCCATGTTGAACTCTCATAAAGGGGGAAAACACGCACTGGTTTTGTTAGTAGGGAACAGATGATATCACTGGCATTTTTACAGTAGATGTAAAAATTTAGAGGTCTAACCAAGACTGTTTGATGTTCAACTACTTCAACTGTCACTCAGTCACATTCTGCCTGACTTCTGTTACTCCACTTTTGTTTTTTTATAACTTTGCTATCTCATGATTTGGACTTGAAAAATCACATCTCACCCATCCTGGCTTGCTTACACTGGCGAGATTTTGCTTTTACAGTTAATTTTCAGGAATTATCGGTAAAAATAAAAAGGTCCCGATATGCCTCGCCCCAAGAAAGTTATCAGATGTCCTCGAAGCCCGTCCCGTCCAAGACACTGAAGCTCAGCTGCGTCTTTCCTTGTTTCTCCAAGGTCCAGATTCATACATAAATGGGATAGAACCATTGCACTCAGGTCCTACATGAGGTGATCATGGCTGCAACCTGTCTCATCTTCTATAATACTTGTTTTATAGAAAGCTGTGTTATATATTAGTAATTTATGTAATCTTAATTCATTTTCCTTCTTCTTGCGGCTGGACTTTCAGATGATTTATATTTAGATTATCTATAATGGTTGCTAAATTGTATTGATTGAATAGATTTGAACTAATTTACTGGTAGATTTAACCCTTTGACACAAGGGGAATGCTGTTTTTAAACACACCTTTTACTTACTCAGCTCTTCCATCTGGTCATAAAGCACGTGGAAATGATTTCGCTACACAGTCTGCTCATTATACAGCCCATCATTTGCACATCACATGGACAGACAGCACCCACTGGAGCCTTTCCAAAATGTTTTATACAGCACAATGAGAGTGTTTTATGGAAACTATTAAACGGATCCCCTGCGAGGACCATTTCCAAAGGAGCGAACTGTACTACAGTACATCTGCAGAGGGTGTCTACTCGTCAAGCAGTCTCAGCTGCTCCGTGGTCTCAGTCTGCCTGAAGGAGAAAGATTCTAATCAGCACCTGTGTATGCTTTCCACATCTTTTTTTACTGCTTCTGTTCTGGCTCTTTTGGAAAAGCAAGCCGTCCAGCAGGTGCTTCGTGGATCGTCGGGCCGCCTTCGTTTGATAAAACTTAAGTGTGCGATACTTTGTTGAAGATGATCAACCCTGTGGTGCAGACGACATTTTTACATTTAGATCACACTTGATTTGTAAACGGCAAACTCATTTGTAATGCTTGTTAAAACCAATAGTTAGCCACTTTGGCCATGTACAGCAGGTGGTTGTCAAGCATCGTGTTATCTTAGCTACGCATAAGGAGTAGAAAAGGGTGAAATGGTTAGCATAGCTCAGTCCAAAAGGAACAAAATCCCTTTTCTAGCCGGAGCACACTAACTCCCTGCAGTGTGACGTCGCTAGGCATCCAGCGGTGAACCCTGTAGAGTTACTGGTCCCGCTCAAGAAATAGTCTGGTCTTAACCACCTATAAAACCACAATTTACTCTGTTTAAACTTTGGTCTTGTTCACATTAAATATATGAAATACAGTGTGTTGATTTGTGAGCTTAAGACCATCTGGGTGGATTTTTGGATGGAGCCGTGCTCTCGCCCCGTTTCATTGCCTCATTGTTCTATGCTGAGGCCACTGGCCTCTTGCTCTAAATCGTTGTGTTTGAATTAATTAATATCAATCCTCTCATGTAAGCCCAAGGTGACTTGGATTGATTTGGTATATTTCTAAATAGAAGATGAGAACAAACCCGCAAGAGACATGAACATTGCCATTCAAATCTGAGTAAAGCATCAAGCACTGACGTTTAGTTTGTTTCATACATTTACACAAAGAGGCTGATGAATGCAAGGCCTCGGGCGATGCCATCAGATCTACCCACAGCTGTTTCACGCTATTCTGCTGAAGCACAACTTTCTCATCTACAGCAATAAATATCCAGGAAAAGTCTATTAACTGAACTAAAATGTTTTATATACATGGGAAGCCACCTTATATTCTTTCTACATAGTCCTGGTCAGCCATAGCTTACTAAAACGTGATTAATAAAAGCTTCAAAGTGCTCTGCTGAAACGCAAGCGCGCAGCGATAGCTTCAGCTGTTTTGATTGAAGTAATCCCCCCGTGGGTTCGGCTGCAAGATCCCCATACAAACTTGTGCCGCAAACTATCCGATCCAACTAAATGCAAAATATCTGCATGCAACCTCCGTCTGGACTCCGCTCTATTCGTTTTCATCACAGTGACCTGCTAAATGTATCAAGGTCCAGAAAACCAATCCAACAAAACGAAGCTCATATCCTCGCTGCAGAACCCGGGCCAACGGGGCTGGCAGCAGTTGCTGTAGTCCAAACGGTCGGCCACATGGATCCAATCATCTCACCCCTGCAGCACTGGCATCTCGGAGAGCACAGGCCAACAGTCTACGGCTTCTACGGCATGCCGTTTTCTCACACAGCTACACAGTATTAATAAACATGTGTGTACACAGGAAGTTAAGCAAAGTAAATAGCCAGACACCAAGTGCTGACAGGGAATGAGTGAGTCAAGAGGGGGGCAGGTGAGGAGCGCTGCTAACCACAGGAGCGGGAGCAGGGCCATGGCGTGCTTTGAAAAGACTAAGCCGTAATTTACGCAGTTCACAAAGTTTAGCGATGCATGGTGTTTGCCGCACGTTCAAACTGAGAGTTCTAGATCTGTATTGAGTGGCAAATTTAAATGTCTTTCCAAAAATGCTGAACTCTTCTCTAACAGAATACCACCAATGATGGTAAAGAAAGTAATGTAGCTTTCATTGTCTGAACATTTCTCACAACCTTTCCACCAAGAACAGTTGAAATATTTCATTTTGGATACATTTATTGATTGCGGCAATGCAAAAGCGGAAAAGGCTCTAAGAAAACTTCAGAATGCAGGTTTAGCCGCTTGCAGCTTTAAGCTGACATCATTTGAAGTGAAATCTACTCAATTTTGAACATGAACAAATCTGGAAAAGAGTAAAACACGTCTAGTAAAAACAAATATCTGTACGTACACTTCCATTTGTTAGCTCTGCAAAGGACCTGGGGGCACTTTTTTTTTTTCAAGGCGGGAAACTAATAGAGGACAGGGATGTGAGTAATCAGAGCAGAATGGGCAGAAGCGGACAACCACAAGTGGCTGTTGCTCGTCGGGGGAATCTGGACGCAGAGGTTAGGGAGGGATAAGAAAACCACACTGGAAAACTGACTTGGGAATGGCATCTGGTTCCCATATTCACAGTGTATCACAATTAGCCGGCATAGAATGGCTTTAATGTGTGTGTATGTGTTTGCCATTGTGTGCGTGTGCTGGATTGTGTATGATGTTTCTGTGGGATGATGGACGCTGTGAACTGAAGCAGCTGAAACCGATAGTGCGCCTGGTTATAGGTGGGTGTTGTGTGTGAGAACACTACATCTGGATGCAAATTAAACATGGAGGAGGTTCTAATTCACATATTTCAGTCAGGGAAGGTCTCCTCATGTCTGAGGATGGGAAACATTTAAACAGCTTTAACAAAATTATATGCATTAAAAAGCCTTAAATCAAAGCCAATTTATTTTCTGTGTCTGCACAATACGCAAGCAATTTTTTAGATGGTTGGAAATGTATTCATTTCACTTCTTCTGTGGATTCAATTAGAACCACAGAGCGCCAGTTCCACATTTTTCATCATTTGATGGAAAATTCCTCTCAATCAAAAACATATAAATGGACACTAGTTACATTGCAGCTGTTTGCCAAATGAGTGCACATAATACTGATTAAGCGTATCAGTACCAGGGAACTGTATTTTGCAGTATGCCGAAGTTGCCGTGTCTGGTCTCTGTGGCGGCGTTCCTGCACCCGAGGCGCATTTTACGCCGACCTGAGGGTTTTGTGTTCCAAACCAGAAGACTCGGGGAAAGATGTGAGGGAGAAGTCACCTGCGGTCATACGTCATGATGAGCACACGAGCAGTCATACTGCGCTAATCCTCCTACCAGGCCACCGAGATGACAATTTCCCCTGCGAGTAATTCAGCCTGCTCAGCCCCACCGACGTGCACTATTAACCGCTTCTCAAATCACTGCGAGTCAAGCTCTCGGGTTGGCGTGAGTGCTGCTTCTCGTCGCTCGCTGACAGACAAGTGCTGCTGATGGGCTCAGCATGAGCGGAGGACTGACATCTATTGAAAGGTCAATCTCTTAATGTTGTCACATCCAGTGCCAGTCGGCCTCCTCGGGCACCGCGGCCCTGATGAGCCCAGATGAACAGCCACTACGGATAGATCCACTTGCAGCTCTTGGCACACGCCAGAGCCTCATTCTGTCGCTTTCTTCGTCCCTTCGTTCCGTTGTGAAACTGTTAATGGGCAATAATTGGAAATGAACACAACATCAGAGCACGCGGTGCCTCGCTTAACTCTTAACTAGTCTCATTTCCCCCAAAAAACCTGACGCCTTCTCCTCTTCCGCGGGGCGGCAAAAGGTGATCAAAGTCCAGCTGGAATATGTTTTATTAACAGGTGTGGATCTGCGGCGCATAGCAGACGAAGGATGAAAGGTGGCGGGTGTCTGGGCTCCTGCTTCACCCCCACACTGCCTCTGATCCCCGAAGCACAGCTGCATAATTCATTCGGCGTGACGGTTCATCCTCAACCTGCGCCTCCGGAATCTCCGCTCGCGAGGCGGGGAGGTGGAAACTACTTTTCAAATGCTGAAACAGACGCAACAAACCTTTATTTACCCCACTGACTTGTAGCCGGCCTGCAGCCGCTGAGGTGGTTTTTGCTATTTCAACATTCGATCATTTTTCAAATGGTTCCTCTTCTGTCTAAGCGGATTTTAAAGCATGCAAGCTACTTGCTCTTTCCGTGTAATTGTAATTTAGTATGGCATACAGTCTGTGCTATAACCAGTCGGCGGGTGGTGTTAGAGGGTCTTGTGCAGCCCCGGGGACGGTGTTTTATGCCTGATTGGTGTTAAATGGTGTGCGAGCACACACAGCGGTTGGTTGCTCGGCGTTGATGTTTTGACACGGGTCGCTTCTGAGGAGCTGCAGAGCTCCGAGGACAGAAGAAAAATGAGAAGCAAAGACTTCATGGCTCTTGCCCCTTCTGTCACGTTATAAACTTCCACTTTCATGTGCAGAGAAGAAAACCTTCCTCTGGTTTTAGTAGCAAGAAGAGACCAAATCCCTTCAACCTATATCTGTAAAATGTCTCCATAAATAGTTTTCCAATGTGTCTGAGAGACAAGAACAGATATCCAACAAAACTAAAACTCATCCCTGATCCCACGCGAAATTGACTCACTGGCCGGAGCCGCGGGGGGGAAAGGACATTACACTGAGACATATCACTCGTCCATGTCTTAGCGCTGCTTGTGAGAGCATGCAAAGATCTTTCCCGACGAGCTTTGATTGAGATCTATTTTCTGCACCTGTCACTGCAGCCGCAGGCCCCATGTCCACCCGGGGCGGCGGCGGCGGGCGGGGAACGATTATGTCCCGGGGATCTACAATGTCTTCAGCTGGGGTCCGTTAGGTTGTGTCGCAGGGCTGTGTGCAATTTACACACTGTTGAATATTCATCGAGACGTGTCCCCCCTGCCATCCCCCGTACGGAATGACAAATCACATGAGGTCACTACCACAACAGATTGGAGACCGTTGGGTGATTGGTTGTCATATTACTGCAGTCTTTCGAAGTGTGTTTTCAGAAATGCTGTTTTGTTGAAACCTATAGTTGCTTTTCCTCCGTCAAAAAAAGGGACCAAATACCACAATGTGTGGGCTCCTTCTGCTTCCTATAACGACTTCATCAGAGTTTGATTGGCTGGCCAACAATGGAACATTGTCAGGTACCTACTGTTTTGTGGACTACATTTACTACGTCCCGCCCAAAGGAACAATCCTTCAGGTACCAGACAACACATTCAGCCCATGCGTCTGCAGGCAAATCCAACTTCTCAAAGCAATACTTTAGTCGACTCTCGAGACATCTCACAGCAAGATTTTACAGCACATGTCAAAATGTAGGGCCTGGCGAGGGAGTCGGAGAAGTGAGACCACCTGCACTCACTTAGGTCCCAGAACCCCAGGAGCGAGTGGCTGAGAAGGCTCTGAGGATTAACTTACAACTTTTACAGCTCAGTCGGCACACGCTATTATACCTATTCAAACACACATGCCTCTGCACTATAAATAATTGTGAGAGCGCGCGCACACATACAGTAACCGTTTGACCCGGTCGTACAGTGAACGGGTCACAATCCTCGCTGCTTATGTAAGTAAGGGTTTTTCTTCATCTTTGGGAAAAAAAAAAAAAAAACTCTAAAGTTTTCCATCTGTTAAGGGGTGGGGGATCTGTGATCACCCGGCAGTGTAATGAGGTGAGATAATCTGTTCGGGTGCAGGGAGCTGGCAGGGATGGAGATCAAGGATATTACAAACCAGACTGCCCAAATGACAGAGAAGACGGTCCCCATTAGGTGAAGAGGGGGGGGGGGGGTAAAGAGATTCATTTAATAGTAGAGTCTTACTGTGTGGTACAAAGGGAGATTTCTGCCAGCACATTTGTCTTAATTGGATGACGTTTACATCAAATGTGGAAATCCTGTTTCATACTTTAACATCTACAGTTCAAACTCTGAATCACAGTAGTGACTATATTAAATATTGTTAAGCTGTACAAAATTCACATTTTGCATTTTTATGGTGGTAGTTTGCAGTGCCTACCTGGTGTCTCTGCTAGTTACCTGGCAACCTAATGGTTATGGCAAAAGGAGGCCAAAATGTACCACATAATGGATTTATGCCAATATATTTTTCTTCCTGACCTCAAAACAGTGAAGAAGCAAAAGCTGGACTGCATCTTGCAGTTATGTTTGAATGTTTTTACCTTCACATGGGTACCACAGTTGGGGGAGATGAGAGTCAGGCATACTTACAGGAGGTCCTGAAGGAGAGAAGAAGAAAAACAGGGCTTAGTATGTTTTCAATCAGCGATCAGAGCATCAATGTTCTACTAAAACCACAGATTTTGTTCTTTGGAAAGGAACATTCGATTAAGATGCGTCTCCTCAATGATGCGTTCACAGCAGAAAACACATTCCAATGCACTATAACTCCAAAATGGCCCCTTTATTTCTACATGGTACAACAACAACCGCACTGTAACACAAAGGTCCGATCGGTTTTCCATGCGGTCGGCTCAACAATGGCCAACACGCCTGGAGATCACATTTTACATTATTAAGTCACTCTAATTTCACTACTACATGGGGTTGCACGCTTGTTAAAAAATCCCCCCACGTGCTTGTGAGGTGACACTCGTCTTTTCGCCAATTACTGCTGCTCATAAGGACTGTGTGCCAACGCACTTCAGGGCCCTGCAAATCATTTAAGGTCTTTAGGTTCTTATTAAAAAAGGTACCCAGCTGCTTCAGCCCCGAAGAAAAAAGGATAATTTGTTTCTTTACAAGGCCTATGTCCTTGAACTGTTCTTCTTCATGACCAGGGGAAAGTGCAAATCCTTCCAGCAGTTGGAGCATTTAAGAAAGCCGTGTAATTGAGGCTCGCTGGGCTGCACTTCTGTAGCCACCTTTAACGGATCATACAGTAGACCACTTAGCTTTTAATAAACCTGTCCCATTGCGTCAAGTGAAGCTTTCAAAGAGGAATTATGGAAAAAAAATCAAAGAAATTATGTGATACAAATGTGTAATATGCTGCAAAGTACTCAAAAGGTATGCAATATTTCAATTCGATGGCTCTAGCTTGACCAAAAACAGTCTTTGATGAAATATAATCCATGTAAAATGAAGTATTCTGTGACATAATGTTATACACACTCAAAGCCCACTTTGAGTTTGACTTTCTCTTCCCACACTGTCGACCCTAATAACCAGTCACAAGCCAATGGAAAGCTTACTGGATGAGCATTTTGTTGAATGTGATTGATAAGACCACGGTGAAAGTTGTTGTTGTGCTCTAACATAATATAATGGTTAGAGATAGGATGCAATGGGGCTTGCTAACTAACGTCTTCATTTGTTGCTCTTCTACAAGCTTTACAATGCACCGCTGTAGGTTTGAACTGCTCGACCGCGTCACGTTTTGCCTTTTTTTTTTTTTTTAAGGCCGGTTCATCAATAAAAAGGGCCTGTCATTCACATATTGGATTATTTTACACTTTCCAGCGTTGGCCACCTGCGGGAACAGTCTGACAGCATTGCTTTCACGGCTACAAAAAAATCAGTTCATCCTAAACTCACACTTTTCCTTTCCTTATGGTACCGGTAAACACACCAGAGATTCTAATAAAGTATCCCATTCATTTTTTATGAATAGGTAAACATCGCCGTCTCTTTTTCCTATTTGTTCTCTCCGTCAGTTGAGGCCAAGTCTGGGCAAGAAATTCCCTCTGCATTTGTAGACGAGTCAACTGCAAAACACCTCACCCCGAATTTGTGGTGAACGTTCGCTTACTTTTGGTGAAATCAAACCATGAATTAAATATGCTTTCCTTCAAAGCGTGGCACTCCCGTCAAATACCGCATTTTTCAGTCGTATAAAGAATGTCTCAAATATAACCTCTAGTTTTTTTTCCACACATAGTTTGACACTGAGCTTAAATAATGCAGCCGGGTGCCATTGTATTTGTTTTTTTAATGCCTGCCAACATATCTAAACAGTAAATGCGGAGAGAACTGAGCTGTAATTGCTTGCCAATATGCAGAATCACCATTCACCATTAAATGGCAGAATTCTTTGTGGATGCTGAGCATAACCAGTAAACATGGGTTTAAAAAGGACTGTGACAGTCTCTCTGGCAGGCGAGGCCTCGTTCAGGTAACCAGGTCACAATTCGGCATTGTGGAGTGCCGTGATTTGTGCCGTTGTACAGAGGAGTGAGCACCCATCATCCCAATTGTTCCGTGTTGTATTCTCTAGGGCCACTGTGCCTCTCAAGTCCAGACATTGTGAGTGGTTTATGATTGCTTTCTTATTTCCAAATAATTTGTTTGGAGGAAGCGGTTCATGTAACTCGACGTTTGCTCTGACTGACGAGAGAGGAAAACAACCGTCTCTGCACAATGGTGCCGTTTGAAATATGCTGGCACCATGGGTGTTTATTTTAAAAGAAACAAAGACTGGATTTATTACAGATCTGTATCCAACCAGAACATTGAACTGTTGTCTGTCAAATGTGTTTTGTTTTTTCATCTCCCTCTTCCAGGTAAAGCACAGGCCTGCTTTAGCATTATGAAACCCATCCACTGATCCATATCTCAACATGGCCACGATGGGATTCAAAACCAATTTCGACCGATCGAAAAATTTAGAGAGAAATTAAATCTTTGATGCTCCGATAACAGCTCCTTAGATTTGATTTGTGTGACTTTAAAGTAGCAACTAAATATGGCGGTAAAAGGAATGAGCTTCTCGTGAAACGAAACCGCTCCGTCATTACTCCACCTTAAAAAACGTGACCTTACTTTGCTCGGCCCTCTCTTATTTCTTTTTACAAGGGCGGTACTTTAGCTCCAGAGCGTTGGCTGCACTGCGCTCTGAGCACGGGGACACCAGCGTGCTCCAGAGCCCATTATCACTCTGCCTATCAGGTGAACGCAGTGCGACCTCAAAACTTCAAAGCTTCAACTAGTTCGGGCGTCACTGTTACTATCTCCAACTGCGCTGTTTCACGCGTAGTGTTTCCATAGCGACTGAAGCTGAAACACACGTGTGACGACTGAATCCACCGGACCACAAATTACACGTCTCTGACCTATTTTGGCCTCCAAAAGATATACAGTGTACTTTAACATGATTAAAACTGCAGTATGATTTGCTGATGTCCTCCTGAATTATTCCTTAAATGTCCATGCATTGAGAAGTCAGTGGTCTTTGGCCACACACACACACACACACGCACACAGAAACAAAGACACACAAATGCACATACCTGGCTCTCCATTCCGGCCTCTTCTTCCTCGCTTTCCCGGAGGTCCTGCAATGAAAAGAACATAATAATACAACTCAGTAATTTTTATTGTCTTTTTGTTTCGTATCCGTTTTATATTTTTCAAGCATTGGTAGTCTAACCACCAGGATGAGGAAGAGCCACCGCCTTTAGGCAACAAACATCTCAAAATCTCAAGGTTCATTAAGTATTAAGGCTGTATTTAATACATAGCCGGGGGAGGGGGACACACACTGTTTCATGCTGTCAACCTTGTTGCTTTCTCCTTTTTTTTAATTTTTTATTTCAGCATGGATGCCCTGGCTTTTGATTTGTTTACCTAGACAGCGTTTTCCTGTTCTCCATTTTTCTGTCAGCGCCATCAATCTGCTAAAGCACAGCTGGAGGAGTAAAACAATTACACGCCTCGCCAGGTTTAACATGTACAAGACTTGACTGGGTCGTACTCTATCGTGGTTTAGTTTTCAGTTTGGAAAGTGGGAGCATCTCTCCTAAAATGATGCATTCCAACCAACAACCCATGGAGACCTTTTCTTGGCGTTGGCAGCTGGAAACAATTGCTCAGGCATTGGCCTTTTGTTTTCTCTCTGCCCCCCAAAAAGCGTCTATATTGATGATATAGTTAAAGGGTAAAGCTATGACTTATAAACCAGCTGGAAGTTAAAAGCTGGGCTCCAATAATTACACAGACGTACACGTTTGAGGAGGCTTCTCCACTTGCAATGGAACGGAATGCAGTAAGGAAAATAACTCAACATGAAAAGATACAAAGAGTATAAGATGAAAAAAAGTATAAATTAAACAAATCGTTCGTGTCACGTTTTGCGTCAGAGAAGATCATTTGTATGGAATTTGAGGAGATTCTGCACAACCTTAAGAATAACATTGTGTTGTCATGTTAAGGCTCAAGACCATCACAGTAGTGTAATGTGTTCGGTGAACGTTTTGAACTGACAATCATTGCCTTTCTGATTCAAGGCTCCTAGGATTAGCTAAAAACAAAAGGTTAAATAAAGATGACCTTCTGGGACACTCCAGATATGTTTACCGAGGTGCAAAATGTCGGGTTATTTTGTGAAGTCCTCAATTTGATCCCACTGTTTTGCTCTACTTCAGCCCTGTACTCTGCTCCGATTGGACGGTTTCCAGGATAATGTCAGGCGCTGGCAGCGAACGCTCCAAGCGCAGTTAAAGAATGTAACCACAGGTGGAGTCTGACTCTCACTTTACTTTGATTCGCATCAACCATAGTTTCTCCATAGGTTTATTTTTCAAGGTTTTAAATGAAACAGAAGGGGGGGGGGGGGGGGGTTACTGCACATGGCAGTCACTTCATTATTTCTCACTTTGAAAAGAAACTTGACACTTCTCAAAGGAATATTTTGTGTGTCAATAGAGGCAGATACCAAGCAGCTTTACCAGTAACATTTAAAACCAAGAAGTATGCCAAGAGATGCTGGCAAGTTTCAGTTGATGAAACACAAAAGAATCACTGACTCCATCAGGAGTTTTCAGGGTTTTTCAATCAATTAAGACAAAAAAGATCATCTTCGAGAATCGTGAATAAAGAAATGCTGAGAAATCTTAAGCTGCTTAAGAAAAACATACTCTCTCTCATAACATTGTATTTGGCCTTGCATATTTCCACAGGATCCCGGGTACTGTCATGGAACAGTGGTTTCTGAAGAAATGTGGTAGAAAATTTCATGATAAGGGTCAACAACTATGAACACAAGCAACTGGCGAAACCTTTTGAACCTTTTCAACAACTTTCGAGTCTGGAAGTGCAATAAATTGAAGGGAACTTGACGTTCATTCAAATGTTTGGTCGGACGGGGTTTGCGGTCAGACCGATCCAAATGGGCCCCTGTGGTGTTGTGTATTGTGTTTTTTTACATTATGTTATATGGCGGATCAATCACATTCAGCGTTTCAGAGAGTAAGCAAGAGTGAGCCACATTTTAAGTGCTGTTTGGCTTCACTAAGCCACGCCGACGGTGTGGACGTGAGTTAGTCGGCCCACAACTGTGCTGCAGACATGCTGGGCTCCACAGCTATTTGCTGGGTTTCTCTAAAACTGCGTTGAAGACATCCGGGATCTCGGAGGATGAATCCAGCAGGCTTTTCCTTTACCGCCTCCACAATGTTTATATTTGTGGTTATGACTGAATTAGAATGGATTGCCACGAAATCTAATTTATCACCCCCGGCAATGGCTGCGCAAAGTTAATTACATATGGATAAGATAGTCAAATGTTACAACTCACCAGTCTTCAAATTGGAATTTTAATCAGTGAATATTCAAGATTGTGCTCTGAACAGCTGACAGAAGTGCTGCTCGGTGCTATTCCTCTCATTCGTCCGAATCGATCACTTTTAAGTGAACCAGCTGTGAACGGACTCATTAACAATACTAGCATTGTTTTGAGTGTGACGTAATCAGACCACTCAATGGTTGACAGCCGTTCCTCAAGACTAAAAGTGATGCCAGAAATCAAAGAAAGAAAGCAAGCTGGGTACCAGCTACAACCTCCAAAGTAAATCAGGTTTGATGGGAATTGGCTTTAGACTTCTCTGCAAGTTTGAGATAAAGTTGCACTGTCCTATGTTCAAATGTCATCGGTAGTTTTTCCATTGTTTTTATTGAGTATTGATTGAAATAGGTTTGTGGTATGTTAAGGGCTGCAGTCGGTGCATCACTGAAAACGAACAAAACACACATTCAAGGCGCTTTTCACCAAACATGCAACACCTGCCTATTGAGAAAAGAAAGGTTACATTTTGGATCGACTACACATTTTCCGTGGTTCATTTTAAAAATGTTTTCCCTTGTTGTCGTGTAATATTCTAAACCACCACTCTATTTCATGGATACCAAACATGCTGCATGCAGACCTCACTGTTTAAATACAAGTCACAAAAGTAGAATGCCAAGAACGATCTTTTGGAGGAAATATCACGGCAATACATTCATTCCCGTGGCAGTGTTTTAATAAACTGACATGACATTGTTTTGCTGGCGTAAATTTGACGCCAGGCGTCTTTGAATGATTTGGTTCCCCAAACTGCTCCAGCGTCTCTGTATGCTGTTCTATAAACACCGGACTTAAATTTCCAGTTAAAATGTATTACAATGGTCTTGTTGTGATTGTCAAGTTCCATCAACGTGTAAATATTATATCTGCATGGTTATTGTGTTGGCAAAAATTTCACTTCCTAAATCATTGTCTAAATCAGAATTCAAGATAGAATACAGTACATTTGGCCATCTCAACATGCCTCCCAACTTGGCTTACAAATCCCAGCTTTTCTTGATTGAAATGTTTGAAATATGTCTCAAAAAATATAATGATCAATGTCCATCAAAGACATTGCAAGGATTAAAGATTTACTCCAAAATGTTTATTAAACCTGGCAACTATTGGGTATCCAGGTCAGCGGAACTAAAGCTGCACAAAACCTGGCTTCCTACTATGCAATCATTTGTTACTTTAGTACATTTTTGTGGAAAATCTGGCAACAGGGACGTTCATTTTCAGCCAACATCGTTATTGCTCTGCATAGCAATGAATAAATCAATACATGAAAGGATAATTCATGGAACACAGGGTCCACCGTCCAACGGAAAAAACAAATGTTTCTATCAGGCTCATCTTTAAATGTCAGTCCCCCCGTCATCTGAAAGTGGATCTGTATTGTTGTCAAAAGAGGATTCATGAAATACTACTATTTCAAGGAAACGTTCTCTTCACAAGACATGAAGTCTGCAATTTACCCCCTTAGAGCTCAGAGCTCTCTGTGAAACCTCACAGACAATGGAGAAGATTACCTTCAAATATTAAGAATCTGTGGGTCCAACAACAATGCAAAAGAGTTAAAGCTAAAACAAAGTCTAATGACAGACCGCACAATTCCGTGGTAGCAACCAGTCAACCATGAGGCAGCAAAGAATACCCTGTTTTATTATCTATCTTACTCCAAATCTAAGCATCATTTACAAACATGAACAGAACGCTCTACTGAAAATTAACTAATCATCATCAAAACTACTTGACTGAACTCTGAAGCTCTTTGAAGATACAAAAGTTAAACTGTGCTGTTAAACAGACAAGTTTCTTCTCAAATATGTTCTCAGTCCTGTGCATTGCTCGGGGAACAATTAACCCGCATCGGCTTCTCTATGCAACTGGATCAGTTTTGAATGTTTTCTTACAATTGAGCTGTTCAATGCATTTAACTTTGATATTTGCCCCCCGGTAGGATTCGTTACAATTGCAAACAGCAGATTAATTGATGTTTGCGATTCAGACAATTTACATCTGCACATTGCGTCGATAGAAGTTTCAACTACAAGGAGCAGACTGCAGAATGGTTCGATGCCAAAGAGCAACCCAACGATCGAGCTCACTTAACGCCGGCGGTTCTTTGAGCGTCTTTAAATACGAGCCATGCCGCTTGGATTATTTTTCTAGCAAGCAGAAAATAAACTGTGGATTTTAATACAGAATTGTATAATTGTGTGTTTCACTCGGTTCAGCAGGCGCAGCTACAGGCCCATTGTGTTAAATCGAGACATCTGACATTCGGTCTTTCTGGCAACGAGATATAAACACCGAATTTCTGCAGGAGAATACAAGGGCTGTTTCAATTCTCCAAAGGCGTACATTTAAATCCCAACCTCACGTAGACAAACAATGTCCTTCAGGATATTTCACATAATTCCCTGAATCAGTGGCATATATCTTCATTATCCTTATTTCCAACTGCGCTTAAATCCAATGCAACCATTTCCTGAATACATATGATGATTACAGTCATTTCCCTAATAATTCATCCAAATAGTTTTTAATCTGTTGCCCAGTAAAGAGACCTTTGTGTCGGATTTTTACATTTATACTCTTTTGGTGCACTTATTTTGTCATCACATTTCTTGTACACTATTATGAATAGATCATGCCCGCACGCACACATAAACACATCCCCCAGTTTAAATGCTGATTTTCCATTTTGAGAATAAAACGTAAAAG